ACGCGCGCGCATAGTGCGCCGTAACTCCGATCACCCTTGCCACGTGGCGCTAAACCCCGAGAGTGGGCAGTGGCCATAGGGGGGTGCTCTCTAGATAATACAGGTTCCAGAAGCTATTAGGAACGGTGACGCTTAGTGACGTCCGTACCGTCGAGAGCCGAGACCAACCAACTGGGTAGGGCTGCAACTGGGCAGGCTACGGCCCGCGGGCATTCCCCGGCTGGGCCTTTCCCGGCCGGCGCGACGGCCCGGGGGCCGGGAGCTAGCGTGCAGGGACGCGGATCAAGCCGTGCGGCGCGGCGTGCACACTTGGAAAGTCAAGAGTGTGGTTTCTGGAGATTGCCAGTGCAGAAAGGAAGGACTCCGACCATGCATGGATGGACCGTCGCCTTGCATGAGGCAACTTCCTTGCTGACCAGAAGTGCAACCTTCCGGCATGGCTTCAAATTGCGCGTGCTCGATGATCACTCCATGGAATCATTGAACCGCAGTATTGCCGTGAACCTTTGGTCGCCGTCTCTGCCATCAGCAATCCGGAAAAGGCTCTGCCCGACCTAGCTGCACAAGAGCGGGTTGAACAAACTTGCACCACGCTGTGCGGGTTGGTTGCAAGCTGCGTTGATGCATTTCTGAGCATTTGATGCAGGGCTGATCGGACATTACAATCCAGATTGTGACCTATTTTGTTTATCTGGCTTGCAGAGCTTACCGCGCTAGAGCTGCAAACTCTTCAAGAGAATGCCGGCTGTTGCCTTGCAGAAAAGGCTGCTGACCAACGTGCATTCAGGCATTCTTCAAGCTGCATTCCGCAGGCCCTTGTACTGCAGTGCACCAGTGCTGGTCACTCATCTTCGGAGAAACTATCAGCATACAAACCCGCCTGCCATTCCAGGCCAGCTGATTTCTGGTGCGTTAGCTGCTTTGGAAGTTGGTGGAAATTGTGGGACTTGCCACGATTCGAGAAGCTTTGCTACAGTGCCGAGCTCCGGCAGAGTCGCGATGGCAGCTGCAGGCGGGGGCCGTTCCGTGCAGAGGATCATAACGTCCATCAAGACAACAGAGGTGAGGGTGTCGACGACCGAGAAGAGGGTATGGTGGGCATTGCTTCTCAGGGCCTGTGAAGATGAACGGCATGATGATCAAGAGCGTGGCGAAACATTCTCAATGTAAAGAGAATGTTCTGGGAGCAGGATTTTGACTTCTGCGGAGACGCTCGGAAGCTTTAAACTGCCTTCATTTTGAGCAAGCTGTGCTTCCTACCTCAGTGAGTATCGCTGTTGCCCTAGCTCTGCCTGTTGCATTGTCCCTGGGAAATCCATATCCCCATTGAATCTTCTTTTCGCCTCTTACTGTTCGCCCTCCTTGATCAACGCGGTTGGGTTCCACTCCTGATCTCAGAAGGCCCATGTTGTGCGCCCATGCCTTCCTGACAGCTTTGTTGCTCCTTGTCCATCAGGGAGGCGGGTTCAAGATCAACCGACCATTCCCCACCCGGGCCCTTGACCAGTTTGACCCCTGGCTCATGCTCGATGAGATGGGCCCCATAGAGTACGGGCCGGGAGAGGCGCTCGGTGAGGCTGCTCACCGTGATCATGTTGTAACTGTTTTGACTACTCAGAAATTGGGCCTTTTTGAGACGGGGGAATCCTGCTCAAGTCAGATGCTAACTTAATGAGGAATGAGCATGGTTGATGGCTCAACAAGCATCATGAAATGGTTGAAATTTTGTCATAATTTTGTCAAGAGAGATTTTTAGAAGATAAGCACGCCTTCAGAGTCTCTCTTTTGGCGACATAACACATCTTTATATCTGATACAATGTCCTCCTGCAGGGGCTCCTGACCACCCTCATCGCGGTTTTGAGACCATCACTTACCTCCTTGATGGCGCCTCAACTCACAAGGACTCAGCTGTAAGTTGTACCAAACGACTCGTCCAACCGAGAGGATTTCAAGACTTGAGTTACTGCATTGGTCATCCCTCTGATGAACAAGTCGCTTTCTCGTCCTTCGTGTGACCCGAATCTGCTCCTGCCTTTTATTCTTTGATGTGCCACACTTAGATTCATCTAAGTTGTCGCTGGTTCATAACTCATCACGAGACTTTTCGCTTCTCTATCCCAAACTAAAGACTGGTCTGTTTCCACATATGTGCCTGATTTGATGTGATATGATGTGGGTTGCAGTCAGAATTCTTTTCGCCCAGACAAGGTTTCTGACAGCAGCTCAAGTGATCTAAGCTTGAGGCACAAAGGATTCAGCTAACACTATCTGGCGCCTCCCCTTCCTTCGACTTTTCACCTTTTTACTTCGTTTGCAGAGAGCCCCTCGACAGTGCCCTATTTTTTGCAATACACTTGCTCGAGCCCTGCTGGAGTGCCGAAATGCGTGCTCAGTTGCCAAAAGGCATTGAATAGAAAAGTCGTCTGACTGGGTGTCGGTTGCAACCCCCTCTCTGGCGCAGGGCTTGACAGGGTCCATGAAAGCGGGGGACGTGCAGTGGATGACTGCGGGCAGCGGGGTGGTGCATTGTGAGATGCCGTCAGAGGATATTCTGAAGGAGGGGGGCCGCGTACACGGCTTCCAGATCTGGCTCAACCTGCCCAAGCGCGACAAGTGGATCCAGTGAGCTGCCGACCGCCTGCTTTCCAAATTAGATACTTCATGGGCTTTCCTGAAGACAGCATCTTATTTTACAATAGCTTTGAGCCCGAAGCACTGCAAAAGTTACGACAAAAGTGCGCGGATGCTGGAAAATGACGCAAGCTCTCTTCCATCTGTCAGACTTTCAAACCTGGCGCTTGTGAGAGAATCGGCTGAACGGAACCTGACTCCCAATTTTCTGAAGCGGATTCACGATGAGCCAGCATCAGATTCTCAGCATCAATGTTGAGACCAGGGTTTCCACTGCAGGCCCCGGTACCAGGACACCCGGTCGGAGGACATCCCTGTTGTGGAGACTGCGGAAAAGTCGGTGTGGGTCAAGGTGATTGCCGGGGAGAGCATGGGCACCAAGGCCGTCATTGAGACGCGCACGCCCATCCTGTTCCTGCACTGCAAACTGCAGCCCGGGGCCTCGTTCACACAGGTGGGCATACGCAGCGGAGCCTTCATTGGACCCAGGAACTGCCGCACTTTGTTGGTGAAGATGGGAAACGCAAGCTTCAATCTTTTCGACTTCTTGAAGCATCGTCTAATTGGCGTCTTGATGTGGGCGGATTTCGAGGTCAAGGCGGGAGCAAATGGCAGCACGACAGCACCTCGGCAAGGATTAGGGTCTCTGATCACGGCAGGCTTGATCGCTCTGCCTTTCAACCCTAAGCAGTCCAATGAACGTCAGCCTCCATTCTCGGCCCACTGCGACTAGCGTGTCGTTTTCGGAACGTGAGCCACCTCGATACCGTTGATTAGTCATCGGCCAACCTCGGGAACCCCCACTCAAGTCCGCTCGTATGGGCAGGTCGGTTCTGATGATTTCGACAAAGGTCACCGACTCTCACGTCGTTGTTGCTTTTTCCAGGAGGTCCCCTCTAGCTACAATGCGTTTGCTTACCTCATCGAGGGAGAAGGCGTGTTCGGCAACGGCAAGCACGCCACCGCCAAGCAGGCGGTGTTCTTCGAGCGGGACGGCGACAGCGTGACGGTCAAGAACGACGAGACGGCCAAGGAGACGCTGAGCCTGTTGCTGCTGGCCGGCACGCCGCTAAACGAGCCCATCGCCCGGTACGGGCCCTTTGTCATGAACACGCAGGAGGAAATCCAGCAAGCCTTCACGGATTTCCGGGCGGGGAGGATGGGCAAGATCAAGCACCCCGAGGCCGCTCGGTAGGAGCAGCTGGTGTTGTTTGGACTCCTCGGCGTCTGTGTAATCCGTGACTTTCAATACAGGCCGGTCCGTTCTGGAGGGTCGGCCGGAAGAGTCCAAATCCCCGAAACTTTGTACATAGGTAGCGGACTGTTCATGTTGAGAACGCAAAGCAAAGGTCTTGCAGACGGGTACTCCAACCGTCCGAGTAAAACGATATGGGATTGGGATACTACTACGGCTTCGCCAGACATTCTAGCTCTTCCAAAGTTCGAGTTGTATAATCGAGCTGGCATGTCGAACACCCGTGACTGTAGGTGAAAGAAAGTTGGATCTGCACTGCCTGCTACAGTGCGCCGAGATTTGTAGTGTATCAAGCTAACCTAAGTTGCAGGGCCTCGGAGCAGATCACGTGTGGCGCGGTACGTGTGTTCTGCAGAGTTTGAGGCCGCCCCGCTCACATACATATAAGCCCATGCAAGGTATACGATGCAAGGTTACAATATAATGCAACATGTTGTGCCGCGGGTGGTTGCAGGTGATACAATTTTTGCACATGCAGCGATGCAATCGATTAGCTACCGCGATCCAAGCTGCAAGCGTTGCACATTCCATATCCGCTCTCGGTGCATGGATATGCTCAGTGCCGCGCTAAATTGCGAGCATGCCTGCAAACGATATATATCACATGGCGGGCATGATCATGGTGAATGATTCCCGGCAAGTTTGACTGCCAGTACCACGGCCTGCATGTGCTTCATTGAGCCCGGCTATATATACCTATATATGCATGTTCCTCGCTGTGCTGAAGCATGATGCATGACATGTGGGCGGCGCTAGTAATCGAGTTCACGTCAATCATGTATGATTCAGTAAGGTAGCTAGGCGCTCGGAACTCTAACATTGATTCCCATGTATGCCATGGAAGCAGCTATGGCCCGCGTGTGGCTAGTGACGGCGTTTGAAAAGAGAACAGCATGGTTTCATATGGATGGCTACACCACGTAGTAGCCGAGTGTGAACTACTGCAGTAGTACGTGTAAGCTACTGAATCACGGTGGATCATGCTTCTCATGATGCGGCATGGATTGCACATGGATTGAAAGTAGGCAGCCGGGAATCAAACAGATTCAGAGCATTTCCATAAGATTGAGCATACTAAGTGCCATCCATGTCGTTTCCAGCTCATCATTTGTTAGTGGACACCTACTTGAGCAGCCTCGATGCCGGCCAAGCTGGAAGGAGGGCGGCTGGATCGAAGACACGCTCGTTATTACTGATATTTAACAGTCTTGGCTGTACTTCCGGGCCTCAAGGCCTGCAACACACATCGATCCATCACACGGCGAGATGCTTCGCGCTCCCTCCCTCGCAGAGTGAGGCCCGTTCCTCTCCTGCTGATTCGTCTCCCTACAATCTGCAACACTACTCCCTAGCCCTATAATGTACCACTTCGAAAATGTTCCGGGGGCTGCCCTGAAAAGCGGGCAGCAAGAAAAGAGGGGGGCAGTCTAGAGAAGCCCGAGATGCGTGTTTTGCTTGCGTGCATGCTCCGGGATGAGCCGTTGCAGGATGTCGGGGGTGGCCCCTTTCAGCTCCTGCGGCCAGCACTACCCAGGTCGGTTTGATGCACTTCCATGGTCATGGCATCCAAGAGACAACCCTCAAAGACTCTCAAAGGATGAGGAGTGTCGCCAAACCAAGTCACCTGTTTGAAATTCCTGCTCAAAGTATGGATATAGCCTTCATGGATCAAGACCGACCAACCACAGGAAATGTACAGCATCCACGCTCCATCATCCACAACCTTTTCTTCTGCTAGCCCACCAGCCCACCTCAGGCTCGCTCGCAGGACAGGGAACCGCAGAGCAAGAGCAGTGCTCGACACATGGTACAGGAACCGGTTGAAAGTCACCCACCTGGGGCTTAAAGTTGAAGAGCGGCGGTAGAGGCCGTCCGTTGGGGAGGCGGGTGTTGGGGTCCCGCAGCTCGTCGAAGAAGGGGTGCACGCACGCCTCAAGCGCCGTGCACCGCAGTGCGGGGGAGTACTGCAAGAGCCGGGACACCAGGTCCACGGCCTCGGGGGGCATGCGCTTGTGGAACACCTGGGGGGGGACGACAAGGGAAAGCTGGTGTCAGTGCACGGCCAATAGGGCGGAAAACGAAGTGACCAACTTGCGCGCAGCAGCTGGCCCAGCTTGTCCAACCGATCACGATAGACGAGGAACACAGCCCGGCTGGTCGAAGTGTGCTAGCCCAACGCTTCAACCTGTCACCACTGCACTAGAAGACCCCCGACCTCTCTTGCTTGCTTTTCACCTTGGGTTTTCCCGGGGCTGCAGTATACCGTCACAAGTTTCTATCGTCTGGCATCGCTGAGCGATAGACCAGCAGGTGCTTGTACTGTCTGCCCCCTCTCTGGCGAGCCCAACGCTGGATCAACCTGTCACCACTGCACTAGAAGACGACATAAAATGGCGCACTAGAGAAAAAAGAAGAGACCCCGCACTGCAGCAGACAGGACGGGGTCGAGACACGTCGTAAAACGTAGATCCAGCTGGCGAGCCGTAAGCTCAAGGGGGCATTTCGAGACGCACCTTGTTCCAGGGGTGCGCCTTGATTTGGGGGAACTTGAACTCGGTGTAGTTGGGGTTCATGGCCTTGATCTCCTCGCGCGTCGGCGTGCCCAGCACCTTGATGATCTCCACCAGCTGATCCACGCCGCTCTCGCCGGGGAACAGCGGCTGCGGCACAACAGCAGGACGGGCCCGTCAGCACTCGTAACGTAAGAGCCTGCTCTCCAGTAGGTGGCTCGGAAGGAGTAGGAAGCGGAGCGGATGTTACTCTCAAGCTCCGTTCCCGATTCAAGGAACAGGCTCGCCTCAAGGACGTTTTGTCCCGTTCCCGAGAAACAAGGAACAGGCTCGCCTAAGAGACGTCCTCTCCCGTTTCCAAGAATGTTGCACCAAGTGGAGGATAGATCGAGATTATCAGCCTGGCACCAGCAACACAGATGTTGTTGCGAGTGGAGCAGCTGCAAACTGCTCGGTTTCCGAGGCCGCTCAAAAGACCAAGTCTTGGGCATCCGAATATTTTTGCTTCGTTTTGCCGCCATGCCACGCACCTGGCCTAGGAGCAGCTCCGCCATGACGCAGCCCATGGACCAGATGTCGATGGCGGCCGTGTACTCGGTGGCGCCGAAGATGAGCTCGGGCGCCCGGTAGTAGCGGCTGCAGATGTACGAGATGTTGGGCTCGCCGCGCACCAGCACCTTGGCGCTCCCGAAGTCGCACAGCTTCAGCTGGTGGCTGTGCGGGTTCACCTGCGGGGAAACAGAACGACGGACCGAGGTCAGTGGTTTGATAAACGCCTAGAAAGGAACTTAAGCTCCACAGAACTGCTGAGATGGAAAAAGTTTGGCTTGACAAGAGCTGGCAAGTCGCTACTGATGTCCACACGCCCCTTTTACGTCACCGCAGGCACTATTTGCGGATTGAACGCCGCACAAAGATCAGATGACAAGCTCTGCGCTTAGAAGAGCTCCCCCCATTTTTCATGCAAATCGCAGTAACACAAAAGTAAAGGATTGAGCGGCTCAGGTGCTAGTCTCTGACTGTCCTTAAGCCATCGGGAGCCGGGTGACCATCCGTCATTAAGCTTGGAGCTCAAACGCTGCTCGGGCAACCAAGCCGCTAACCTCAGATGCTTCCTGTGCTTTTACGGTTGAAACGCCTGATTTGACAATTCTAGAAGGACCCTAAGCAACCCGTTGATCTCGCAGCAAGCCGTCTAGGTGTCGCAACTGACCAGGAGGTTTTGCGGCTTGATGTCGCGGTGGCAGACGCCGATGCCGTTGTGGATGTAGGCCAGAGCGCGGCAGATCTGGTACGTGTACAGCTTGACGTACAGGAGAGGCATCCGCTGGTGCATCTTGTTGTAGTGCTTTGCAATGCGATACACCGTCTCCGGCACGTACTCCAGCACCAGGTTCAGGTACAACTGCGGGTACAGAAATGCGAGGCGGGTCAGCCAGGACAAGGCGGCCAAGGAAACAGGCTGCCTGCTGGCCGGCCATACGACGTGGTAACAAGAACAGAAACGCATTTCCAGGTTGGGGGCCAGGGTCGCCAAAGCGCCAAGGGGCGCGGTACAGAGGGTGCACGACCAACTGCAAAGTGACGACCAGGCATTGACGAGAACAGGAGTAGAGGGGCATTAGACTACCGGGCACAAAGACAAGACAAGGTTCTGCTTCGATTTCTGCCCAAAAGCTCGCTTCAAAGGAAACATCAAAACCCCGGCGCAAGCTTAGTGGAGACAAGCGGGGGTGTGCACGCTGACCTCGTCCTTTTCGGTGGTGGAGAAGAAGCAGTGCTTGAGCGCGACGATGTTGGGGTGCTCCAGGAGGCGCATGATCTGCAGCTCGCGGTTCTTGTACCGCTTGTCCTGCAGCACCTTCTTGATGGCCACCGTCTCCTGGCTCTCCAGGCACGTCGCCTGGAACACCACCCCGAAGCTGCCGTTGCCCACGATGCGCTCCGCGCTGTAGCTGATCGTCTGCTTCGGCTGCCCGTTGCGGCCCCCCGTCGTGGTCGTGATGATGTGGCCCATGTCCGTGCTGCTGCCCTCCATCACGCTGCCCTCGAACTCGCCCGCCGCGCCAGCGTCGATCCTGCCGGAAAGGGACGAAACCGGTGTCAGCGTGGGGACCATGAGAGAGTCACCGTTATCTCAACAACTTTTGATTCTAGCAGCAGTAAAGCCTAGCTCGCAGCAAGCCTGCCAAGTAACATCCAGATCCTTTGTTGAGAAAGATGGAGCTAAAGAAAACTCTTCAGAGAGTTGCGGTAGGTTGCAACTTTTAGAAAACGCATGACAAAAGTTACTGTCCCTTAGATCTGCTCGCCCCTTCTCCTTATAATCCAGCATTCCTGCTCTCACACAGATCTACTTAGCAAAGCTGAGCGTTTTTGAGCTACTCCGAAGCACCCTGCACTTTCCAAACCCCCGCCCTTCCGTCTGAACATCATGAGGTCTTCCCTCCCTGTGTCCAAGATCCGGCAAGTCTCCCCGTGCTTGCCAGGAGAGCCGCTCGTGTCTCCGCCTCACCTCTCGTCCCTGAGTTTCATGTCCAGCATCTCCTTGGGCAGTGTGTCCACGGCGCCCCCCCCCGACGTGCGCCCCATGGGCAGCGCGCCCGCCGCCGCCATGCTGGAGCTGCTAGCAACAGGGCCCTGCGCGGCCATGCCCTGCGCACACCACAGCACACAGGACGCAGTGAGGCCTTGTCAACAAGCCTGCCAACCTTCCCTCCTCCGTCACAACTCAGGTGCACTTAGCAGCTTAGGGCCGACTGGCAAACCCAGGTCTGGAGAAGGAAGTGCCTGCAATGTTTACTTTCCGGATAAACCATGCCCAGATCTGGATCAGGTAACAAAAATGCAGGGTTACTTGACGAGAAGTTTCGCCTAAGTATGCAACGACGGTCAGTGGTTGACCAACGTTTTAGTGACCAACTGTTCAGACCATAGCGGACACGATGTCTCCTCTTGGTATGCCAAAGGAAGGGGCCCCTGGCAACGAAGACTCAAGCTGTGCTGCCAGCACTCTGTATTACTCGCGACCCTGCTTAAAACGCCTTCAGCAGCCCTACACCTCCCTGGATCCCCCGCAACGGTTTCCAAGAATATGAGCCAAAGCGTGCTGCCGCCTCCCGGTTGTTTACCTGCGCGTTTTTGCTACTGTTGGCCCCAATTGATGCCGATTTCCTGAGCGCCTGCCTCGCGGGCCGTGTGTTGGTTGCCCTCCTGGGGGCAAGTGCTGGCGGGCCGCCTCCCTGGGCGTACTCGCACGCACTTTTGTCAGGGTCCGCTACTGCGCTCTCGCAGCCGGGCGCTGCGCCACTGGCAGAGCTTGAAGCGCGCCGGGTTCGCTTACGGGTCAGAGGCTCTGAATCCTGCAGGAAGGGGACACGAAGGCTATAAGACATGGGCTTTTTCAGACCAAGTTTGCCATCGGGTTGTCTGCCCTTCTGAAAGCTGCCTCTGATTCCATTTCTAGTAGAGTAGTGGCGGGATCTCACATGAGAGCCCAGAAATGCAAAGCCTGGCCTGGTTGCAGTAGAGGAATGGACCACAATGGTGAACAGGACTTTCGAATAGCAACAACTTTCAGGACCACTGTTGCAGCCCGTCCTTAAACATTACCCTGAAGGATATCCAGAAGGATTGAGAGCCACTAACACCACATTAATCAGAGCCTGGCTAAGAAAGTCAACCAGCATTCTGAACCGGTTCAAAGTCCGGTCTGCATTTTACCAACTTCACCAGAACAAGACAAGAGCGTACAAGCGGGAAGGAACACGTTGCCGCAAGAGACAGACTCAGAAGAGCGCTCTCCTTACTGTCTACATCACATTCAAGAGTTGCTCAAGCATGTGCAGCAGATATGTAGCATTTGAGCGCAAAACTGCCCTGTTTAGATGAGGGAAAGGAGCAGACACCCCCCGACCAGACCCACAGGCTCTGAAGATGATGAAACAATGTTGTATGACGATGAGAGTTTCCAGAGAAAGGTTACTGCCAGGTTCAGTCATGTAGAGGCTGTGCTCTCGTCAGAAGCATGTGCCCGCTTCTGGAGACTGAATGTTTCAGGCTGAAAAGTCTCATCAAAAGAGCGGCAAGATGCAGAAGGGAATGTCTTTTCGCTGTACAAGTAAAAGCAACCCGTACTTGGAGGCGGACCGCTACAATTTAACGAGGAGGCCGGGACCCTCATTGGCAACAGGTTGTGGGTGGAGGCTTTGGAACCCTAGTCTCCACCATCAGAAGCAGGCTATGACTAAACAACACATTCCCTACGGACAAATGCAGAAGCCAAGGACATAAGAGGGCGCCACGTCAGCACATTGACTAAGGATGAGTCCACAAAGCCCAAGGTTGCAGATTCCCTGAACAATTTTGATGCGGCATTGTGGGCTTAAACCCCATTTTTCAGCATGTTTGTAAACTTGGAGTATGGTCCAATGCAGGAAAACAAGATGCAATTCTAAGGCGCTGCAAGGTGCTCTTGCCCCTCCAAGGCCTTCCTAGCACACATTAGCAGTCTTTCTCTGCTTAGCAAGCGCAGTGTTATTGCCTCCGAACACCTTTAAGATGCTTTCACAGTCTCGGGCTATGGCCCACTCTCAGGGGTAAACTTGCAAGGGTTTTGAGGGTGATGGAGCAGGGTTTGACGAGGACAGAGTTGAGAAAGACGTACCAGAAGAGTTCTCTCCTTGCTGTCTGTGGGCTTGCTACGCCGCATCACCGACCGAGCAAGGGCCCAAGACTTCCACCGAGACCCATGCTCTTTCCAAACCTGTTTCAAATACCTCTAAACTTCCACAGGAACCTTCCCTTACGTGTTGCTGCCCTTCTTGCTTGAGTGAAGCCCTTGCCTTCTTATGTAACTACCAGGGAGGCTGCTGACTGATGAGTCTTGCAGCAAGAGTCTTTCCTTCTGTGTATCAGCGTAGGTCCACAAAATAGATACAAACGATGGCCTTCTTGTTCCCTACAAATGCCTATATACAGGATGCTACAACAGAATGTCCAATGCTTGGCCACACTCTTTAAAGGTGATGGCCTGCCAAAATCACGGTACGATTCCACTAAAGGCTCGTGCATACGCCCAGCAATGAAGCATCATCTACTGAAGACTCCTTTGACAGGATTCAATAATGATGCTGCGATACATCTTTGATCACGTGACGTCCTGAGGCCTAGCCACGTTATCGTGCCTGAGTAAGAAAGCTTGAGTATTCAGAATAGCCCGCACTGGGCAGACCAGCCGCCCGAGGCTGCAGACATTTGTCCAATCATATGCTGGTCCTGCAAGCACAAACGGGGCTTATTTGCACGCTGCAACCGGACGCTCTTGGCCCCCAGGCCCCAGGGATTCCATGCCTTGCCCGCCCAGAACAGCCGCCATGATCTTGCCCGCTTGATACAGTCCTGCAGCAAGCCGCTGCTTGACTGACACAGTGAATGCGCGCCCACAAGTTTCAAGCACCGTCCTGCTCGCTGACGTGAGTCCGCGTGCCAGTATGCAGCGCCTGTACACTCAGGCTGTACCAAGTACAGGTCTGGGCCTGCACCCGCGCCTGGCTTTTGCCGGTATGGCCGGTATACCGACCGGCGCTATAGGATACGCGACACAGATCTGTATCCTACGATATACGCGGAACCGAGTTCCATCCCGTATGCGTCCGCGGCTGATAGTGGAAAAAACACCTCCTCAGCCAAAGAGGTAGGCACAGGCTACAGCCTACAGGACAATCGAGGGGCCTGTACGTACTACCCGTAGAAGGCAGTAAATTCTATATAATGGTAATACGTCAACAGCTTATTAAGGCTATAGCCTATCGCCCGGTGGTAGTATGGTACCCTGCGGCAGGTAAAGTTCAATATCTGCACAGCCGTACACACCGTACTGTACTTTTGCTCGCGCACAAGCATCATTGTTGATGCAAACCCATCAAAAACCCCGCGCTCAGGCATGGGGACTGTGTGCCGTCGGGCAAGCGGCCGCGTCTATATGTCGGAAGCCTGAGCGTGGCGGCCGCGCGGCTTGAGCCACGATAGCCCGATCGACAGGATTCAAAATCAGGAATCAGGCCGCAGGCGTCAAGTTCAACAATCACAATTTACAGTACACTGTACTACCTAGTAGGACTACCTATGACTCAAAAAAGATAGCTCAGAAGGCGGCCAGCTGGCTTCATGGCCGAGCTGGAGAATTTGAGCGAGCTCTACTTCTTCAAGTCGCTCGTACTTTTTACGTATTTCTTAGCTGCCCTTGTTTTTGTGACGCTAACGTTTGTGACAGCACCGTATGGCCGCCATACCCGCATCAGTTGGGGGCCACGTATCAACGCACGGGTTGGCTGGATGGTCATGGAGAGCATCGCGCCTCTAACGTGCAGCCTTGTCTTTTTCAGGGGGGCACACAGTCAAGAAACCTCCCCTCTGCTACTGTACAGCATGTTTACTGCGCATTACTTGCAACGGTCAATAATCTACCCGCTACGGATGAGGCCTGGGAAAGGTGGCCGTGAAATGCCGGTGGTAGTCGCTCTGTTGGCTGGTCTGTACAACACTTGGAATGGCTACTTGCAAGGGCAGTGGTTGTCACACTTCGGCCACTACCCAAATGCTTGGGTTTCTGAACCATGTTTTCTGGCAGGTTTTGCTGTCTTTCTTGGTGGGATGGCTGTAAACATCACCAGGTAAGACGCTGGTAACTGGAGTGGTGGCGTGAGATTTTGCTCATAAGCGGGAGTGTTCGAGAGATTATGTTAGTCGTATATATGAGGGATCATAGCATCCAGTCAAAGAATGAGCGAAGCGCCAGTAATTGCACTTTATCCCCATGTATCTGGGTCCACATTCTTACTTTCTGGGGGAGTTGTGATGATTGCAGAACTTGAATGTGGTCCTGTTGCATGTGTATTTTATTCGGTGTATCTAAGCAGCTTGCTGAACCGGTCCTTTCTGATCCAGTGACAACAGCCTTCGGAGACTACGCACTGATCCAAGCAGTGAGTACAAGATCCCACAAGGTGGCCTTTTTGAGTTTATCTCTTGTCCAAACTACTTTGGGGAGATTGTTGAGTGGTGCGGGTGGGCTATCGCGACTTGGTCGCAGAGTGGGCTGGCATTTGCTGTCTTCACCTTTGCGAATCTGGTACCTCGTGCCATCTCACACCACCGGTGGTACAATAGCAAATTTGAGAATTACCCTCGGACAAGATGTGCTGTCATTCCGTGTTTGTTGTAAGATGTTGTTGACATCGCATGTTGAGGGTCGAATGCCACGGCATCATTGTGTACCGCTCTGGTGCTGGCACTTGCATGATCCTGTTATACACAGTCGTTAGGGTAATTGCTTGGTACGTATTGATGAGAGGGCCATGACTTTCGATCTTAGCGGCTCAGTGCACAAAATCCGACAATAGAGGCTGCACCTTGACTGACACTGAGCTGTGTGGTCACCTGCACAGTCGCTCGGCAACTTGCATGGCACGTCGCAGCTGAGCGCCACACGCCGGTACATGACATTCTCTATGACGAAGACTGCATAGCACATGCACATGCACGCTTTGGTGCACAAAATTACATGATGCTGCTAGCTTCATTTCATGCAGTGGATGCAATGTTCGACTAGAGATGTGCCAGCACACACGGCGTGCTGTACGAATGGAAACAATTACATTGACAGCATTGAAGGCATGCCGCGCGATCGCGGCGGTACTGAGCTACAGCTAGGCATCTCTATACTTTCACTGCAAAATTTACCATGAAACTCGATTCGCACGGTGCTCTCTCTCTTACGATCTTCCTCCAATACAGCATATAGCGCGCACAAGTGCATAGCCTGGGCCGCGCATGTCAAGGCATGTGCATCGATGCATGCAAATATATCGACACGTGTGCACAACTCATTAGTAGTACGTCTTTAGAATCAAAAACTCGTAAATAATGTCTGGAACCGTTAGATTCTCCAGGCATACGGCTTGACCGTGAATATGCACAAAACAGATTGATCAACGCAAAGCACACTTATCAAAGAACATGTGCATTTCGGGAGACTAGTAAGTGACGTTGGAAGACTGATCATGACCAGTGATAACTCTACATCATGTTGTTAAGGCTGTCTATCTATCCCCACTCTACCTACTCGAAGAAGCACAGGCTTATTAATGCAACCTTGCACGCTGTAGCACCAGCGATTGGTTATGAGCCAAACTTTGCAGCGAGGCCATGATTGCCAATGCAAGCATTCCCTTTGCTTCTTGGAAAGCAGCTGGCTTACTCTGCTGGCTGTGCTATGTGGAGTGAAGCCGGTACAGGCCTAGACAGAGTGACGCATATGGTGGCTCTACAGGCTTGCCCCCTACCTGGAAACGAAGCGGATACCTAGCATACATGAACGAGCCGACAAGGCCAATCTGCTCCCCCGAAAACGCTAACCAGACTTGATTTCTAGCTGCGCTGCAGCCCCAGTCCAAAAGCCGGGAGCACAACCTGGCTCCCTGAAACCAGACTGTTTCCTCCCCACCCCCACTCATGCCGCAGCCCCTCAGCGCAACACTGGCTGAGTGCATGACCCCGGAGCTCACCGGCTGCTGCAAGTGATGGGATGCTGCCCCCGCGCAACTACAAGTTATACTTGAGCATCAGCTTCTGCTGCAGCGGCGGTTCCAGGGTAGCCCAGTAGTGGCCCCAGTTCTCTCCCAGCATCTGCAAGCACAACAGCCGGAAGTCATGCATGGGGCGCAGGTCACATACGGAAAGGAACGGTTGCATCGCTCGTCATCAGCTAAAAAATGGGTTGGAGAGGACCCGGAAATGCTACGGGTGATAACTTGGGTCGGAAATGGTTAACTGTCAACAGGAAGGCTGCGACTTTGTCCATTCAAGTATGCTAACATCTGTTTTTCGAGGACTTCAAGATCAAGGCGTCGTCTGGAAACCTACGACAGCGCACTTGTATGCTTCCCTTTGATCATGAATCACAGATAACCCGTGCTGCCCGGGTGTACGCCTCATCCAAACCATTTATCAGACCTAGCCGCAGTAACACGAGTGAGGCACCCTTGACACCGGTACTCCAACAATAAAAAAGCTACTCTTGGCAGGGCGGGAGCGTGGGGCTGACCTGCTTAAAGCCGGCCAGAATCTGCGCGAGTTGTTGTCGCAGCTCCACGCTGTGGATCTCGTGCCAGCTGGCAATCGCCTCGCACATCTGCTTGAACGACGGCAGCGCCCCGCTCGGGTTCAGCTGCACCATGGCGCACAGGCCCATGAACGCGTGCTCCTTTTCTATGTCGTCGCGGATACTGCAGACGAACGAAGGAAGGACGAGAACCACGTTAACGTGAAGACCAGCCGAAGGAAGGACAAAAGGGGTGGTGCTCGGAGGGTACTTAGAAGGGAATGAGGAAAAGGTAGACAATCTAAATGAAAAAGGAAGCACATTTCCCGAGGAAGACCCCAGCGCACACACAAGCTCCGGCAAAGAGCACCCCAGTAGTGTAATTTCGCGGGCATACTCTGCTCCAACATCAATGAAGGGCCGGGGCTGCGGTGCTCACCTCCGGAGGGCTTTACACCAGTGCGCCACGAAGTGCTCCATGTGCGGCGCGACCTGCTCGGGCGCGATCCAGCCGAGGCGGCCCAGCGTGATGGCGCTGTTCTCGATCATGCTCTTGTTGAAGGCGCCGCCCTCGTGCTTCAGAATGGGCACCAGGCACCCCACCACCGGCAGCACGAACGGAACCACGTCCTCCCGCGCCTGGACAATGGGGGCATTCAACACGGTGCGTGAGCACAAGGTGCCCAACTTTGCTTCCGGCTCTTCGCCAAGCAGTGTGCACAACCTCCCCAACGACGTGTCCCGGCTCTGTTAAATGCCAAGGTCCAGCTATGTCTGCAGACTCCCACCTTCGGATGAGCGCAAGTATTGAAGAGCATCAATGGGCCCATGTACAAGCGTCCGTGCAAGGAGCGAGGCTCGTTCGCACTGTCGACGCTTGGAGAAGAGCTGCAAACAATAAGGGGGATCTATATCAAAGTACCGGAAGCCTAATAAAGTGGGAGAACAACCTCCGCCGTTGTAGAACAACCTCACCTTAATCGACAGCTCTCCCACTGCCCAGCAAGCATTGTTCGCCCCCGAGATGTTCTCTGACGTCAAAACGTCTTGTTGCTGCAAAAGAGGGACCAAGTCAGCGGCAGTGCTTTATAAGCAGCGAGATGCCACTAAACTCCGCACAAGGTTCGCATGCTGAGCATTTGGGCCAACCACCTACAACCGATGCATCTTTGAACAGCAGCAGCTGCACCGATGTTGCGGCTTCGGTGTCCAGAAAAGCCGCAAAATGTCGGAATAGAGCCTCTCTACGGCTACCCGATACACACGCGCCTCAGCATCTATTCCGCCAACATGGATTGCACACAATAGCAAAAGGTGGCGACTGACCAGCTGGGCCGTGGCGAGGTTAAGGAAGTCTGCCAGCCGCGGCTTCAAATGCACAACGCAGGACTGCACGCAAGACACGAACAAGCACCGGGTCAGCACGCAGACACGAACACCCCAACGCAATAGCGAAGCCCAACTACACCCATAATCATGAGAGACCAAGTGAAACGGCCTTCACATGCGACCTGCATCGACGTTTGCTTACAGCTGCAGAACAAGACATAAAAGGAAGGAACTGACAGAGACAAGGAGCTCATGTATCCTCCTCACTCTGCATCCAAAGAGTCCGGAGTTGAGCAACATAGGACGGCGCTCGTGCATGAAGGCTTAAGGTCTACCACCAGCAATCCTTAACTTGGCAACGACTCGCTTCAAAGTTTCCTCTTCGCCATCCTAACTGCCTGCAGACCGGGGCTGCACTTACAACGCAGGTGCCCTCGGTTTTCACGCTTTCATTCCGGACAGGTTAAGTGATCCTAGCTGACGCGTTTTTTGACTGTCGCAACTGTGCGGCCTGCCCGCGGCTCACCTTTGCAAGATCTCCCAGCAGGGCAAACGCACTCTGCCGAACGTCGGGCGCTTCGTCCGCACAGCACGCCAGGAGCAGCTCCCGTAGGTCGGTGCGGCCCACCTGCCGAGCAGGGTAAAAGAACTTATCAGCAGGACGCACATGAGGAGATGGCAACCCCTTAAAAAAGAACAGCAGACAGACACTAGCGGAGGACTGCAATGCCAATTAGCCTTTGATAAGTACGAGCTCGATGACACTAGGAAAACAGTCAACATGTCAAAATACAAAACCACTCCACGGAGATGTTAGGCCGAAGTCAACCCGCTTCCGCTTTCACTTCTTGCGAGGGTCCACTGCACGACAAAACAGGGAGAAGGACTCACAAGCGACTCGATGCTGGTGCCCAGCCCCTCGGCCAGGCCCGAGAGCAGGTCCAGGGAGCAGACGACAAACTCCTTGTCGTAGTCTTTCCCCGCGGCAGCCGCGTCCGCCTGCACGGAGTGGCAAATCTTGAGTATGCCACCAAAGTGGGCGGTCCAAAAAGACGGACTGTTCATGCAACCGATGCCCATCTTTCGAGAAGGATGTCAAGCCCTGCGCTTTGTACAACCGTTCACAGGAGCTTTGCCGGCAGTGGAAAAAGGGTATCACCAGCCAGCCCGGCTGGCCCCGCTACCCGTCGATTCCGTGTCCTTCCCTTACGAAGGAACGCTTACAACTTATTGCTTATGGCTGGCAAAGCTTGCTGGGAATGAGACATTCAACGAGGAGCTCTGACCGACAAAACGCTTGACAGTGACCGTTCTTCGAAAGATACTACGCAACCAGTGGCAACAGGTCTGCCCATCAAGCAACAGACGACAACCATATTCGCTGTAGAGCTACTGAAGTAACGACGCCTTGCGACTACCCAAGCATAACCTCCAAACCGGATCAGCAGCAACAACCAAGCAATAAAATTGCCGCCCATTCCGTACTCGTTTGAAGAGCATTTTTCTCGCAGACCCCGCCTCACCTTGGCCACGGCCTGCTGGCGAATGAGGCTGAGGCAGCGCTCAAAGACGGGCTCCGCGTAGGGCGCGAAGGCGGGCCTGAGCGCTTGGGAGATGGAGGTGAGGCACTCGAGGAGGGGCAGGATGTCCTTGTCGCTGTCCGCCAGCTGCTGCCACTTGGCGACCAGCGGCGGCATCATGATGTCCAGCAGCGCGGGCTCCGCCAGCTCGCCGCCCACCACGTCGGCCAGGGTGCCGATTGCGTCGTACAGGATGCGCAGGTTCTTTCGCTGCCGGGCGGAAGCGGAGGTGCAGTGTGAGCAAGGGAGTGGCTCGGGATCATTTGAAGGTACTTACTTTCCTGGGCCAAGACGGTGTCTCTGATCCATGGTGGAGAAGAAGAATGTAAGTAGTATTTGGCAGCAGCAGCAAACGCCCATGTGCAACGTTTGAGGGCGAAAGCACAGAAGCAATCAAGGACTCGAGCGCGGCCGGTTCATAACTTCTTCGACAGAAACAAAGGCATCGAAAGACATGACTGCAAAGCACGACCTTATCAAGCGCTAGCAAGACACACAAAGTGACCATCGGCAAACCCTATCTTTTGGACAACAACCATCTCGAAGTCAACCACCTTGGTGCCACTCGGCTTGGTCGAGAAGCAGCCACAGCTAGACATACGAAAAGACCGTATTGAACCCGTTTAGAACGCCATCCATCTCGAAAGTCAAGCCCCCGGACCCGTTTCAACCAGAAGCCGCTTCGACCATCAAGCAACTAGAGTGTAACAGTTCGACATCCACCGAAGCTGCCCTCCCTGCCGGGTGCGCTCACATGATACTTTTGCAGTGCAAACATGAGGTGCTTCAGGATGGGCTCCAGCCGCGCCCCCAGCTCCTCCCCGGCCTCCTCTTCGAGCGTGGCAAACGAGGAGCACGCCGCCTCCTGCACCCGCTTGTTGGTGTCCAGGATGCGTTGCAGCAGGCCCATCATGATGCCCTCCAGCTGCGCCTGCTCCCCACTGTCCTGGGCAGCCTGCACACGGGGGACATGGGACTTTGGACGGTGGCTAAGGCGTCCTTCATTTTCAAACACCGGACACAGCATCTGAAACACCTTGCCAAGACTGTGCAGAGGTCCAGGGGTAGAAGTAAGTTACTCAGATCAGGTTGCCTTGAGTTGCCTCAGCGACGTCGCGACGATTTCTGTGGCGGACAACGATCATACACAAGGCGCCGTTGGAATGATGAACGGGTTCTTGAACAAAAGCTACGAAGGACCACCAGCACAACAGCCCCCGGCCCGAAGGACAATCCCGAGTCTCACACGCTGAGGGAGCACGAGCAGCTGCGGAAAATGTATCTCAAGATTCACTTGGCGGGTCATGCTGCGCCAGCGTGATGGGCTGACCTTAACGACCCAGCGGCTGTAGCGCGAGAGTGTCCAGCAGGTGATGCTGCGCACGAGCGGCTGCTTGTCCTCCAGCATGGGCAGCAAAAATTGCACCATCTGCAGCAACGAGAACGGCATGATGCTTCTGTCGTGTATAGAAAGTTGGACCCCGGAAAACTTGCATCATGCCAACACCTTCTTCGCTTTGTTCACCCGGCAAGAAGAACGTTTGACCAATAGAAGATTTGTCAGCACAGAGATCCCCAGATAGAAGTGGAGACTGAGGAAAGACCTTACTTCGACCCAAGTGATCAACAGACCTCGGTCAGAGCAAGACTGATCAACCTTTTGCCATTCTAGACAAAAGCAAGCCGACGGTGAGTGTCGATACTGGACTGGCCACTGGTCACCGCAAAACACACGGTAAGCCCTACTCTTTGCTGCTTAACTGTGTCGAACAACCTGTATATGGGTCACTCCGACAGCACAGCGTCAAACCCCTAGAACATCTGCCACCACCCGCAAAGGGGATCCCCGTTCAATTGCAATGAACAGAACTCGGAAGTATCGAGCATAATATGCTGCCAACTTACGAAATTCGCTCCTGGCTTGCAAATCACAAACATCGGGACCCAAACTTCAAAGGCAGAAAAGCCTATCCTGCCCACCTGGCTGAGGTGTGGCAGCAGCCCCGTGATGGACCCCTCCGCGATGGCCCCCATGGCCAGCACCCCGGCCTCCCTCTCCTTCCACTGGTCCTCGCTCGTGCTGCCCAGCCGCGCCTGCACCAGCGGCATCAACACCGGCAGCAACTCGTCCCCAAACGTCGTGCTAAGTGTATCCAGCCCCGCCGCACTGCATTTCCTCAGGTTCCATACATTGACAATGTCCTCTTCCTCTTCTAACTCCTCCGCACCGTCTGCCGCGCCCTGCACCTTGGAGTGGTGGAAGAACGGCTTGATGTCTTCTTCCCTATCAGGCACCGTTTCCTCATCATCCTCAATCGACAGCACCGCCTCGTCATCATCCGCGTACTCCATGTTCCCCAGCAGGACCCCCATGAGCCGCGGCAGAAACTCGCGCAGCTGGTCCATGGGGAGGTGCGCCTCGCAGAATGCCGACCAGAACTCGGAAGCCTCGAGTGCCACTTCCGCGTCTGTGTCCTGCGACGCCGCCAGCATGTACTCAATCACGCTCCGCATGTGCGGCACCAGCGCGTCCGGCTGCACCTCGAGAAGCGACACCAGCCCCGCGCACACGAGCTTGCGCACGTCGCCCGCTGTGTCTGTCGCCAGTGCAAATAACCCCTGGAGGTACGCATCCAGGTTGACCTGCAGCGCCGGCGGCATAGACAGTACAAACTGGTTCACCGTACCGACCGCGAGCTTCCGCAGGGACGCGTGCGGGCTGGCAAAGAGCGCGATCAGGCTTGGGAGGAATGCGTCGACGGGCTTCTGCGGCAGCCCCGGCACCTCGACGTCCATCTGCAGGGGGTCCTCCTCGCAGATCTTGTACAAACTGTCAAGGGCGCCCTCCATGGCATCCGGGGCCCCACTTTCTAGGCACTGCGCGAGACCCGCCCATAGCTCGGGCCAACTGGCGGGGCCGCTGTGCTGCACGAGCACGCTGATCACCGTGCCGACCACGGAGCGCAGGTGCCGGTCGGGGCTACCGATGAGGGGCAGGAGCTGTCCCTTGATGTAGTGCTGAAAGGGGGGGGGGATAGACGAGTAGCCCGACTTGAGGTTGTTCTTCAGAAGCAGCCCCGCAGACTGGCGCACCTCGACGGCCTTGCCCTGCTGCAAGAAAAAGGCAGATGAAGGGCTGAGAACCACTCTGTGTTCTGCTGCTCGTGCCGTAGTGAACATTTTAAAAAGGCAACCGCTGGTTTTGTAATGACAATGCGCAGAGGCTGCTGTTGACGGTGACAGGCTGCAGTGCCCCTTTGAAGGTGGTATGGCCGTTCAATCCTGAACGCAATGAGACTTGGGCTGCCTAGCCTGAACAAGAGACAATACAAGGAGTGTAGTATGGTAAAGCATTCAAGAAGATTGCTGAATGACACAACTGATTGAGTTAAACAAGCATTGTGCTCTCAATGGCGTAAATGGAAATGGTATCTTCTTGGACAAAATGATGGCAGGGTGTCATCAAGCCCAGTTAATTGTCAAGATGTCACCGCTACAACCAGTTGGGAATGGTTGATAACAGACAAACTGGGACTACCCGCCACCAAAATAGTTTCTAAAGCCCAAAGAGTGCTAGGAAGAGGAAGGACATATTCTCACGTCTGCATGGGTGAGGATGTAGGTAAGATAGTTGTTGAAATCTGGGTACTGGCTGCATTTTTGCAGCTGCATGAAGATGGCCTGCTGGTCCACCCCTGGCTGCAGGTACTCATGCAGCAGCTGACAAATTTCCCGCACCCCATCCTGATTTGGTTCCCAACTCGCCATGGCAAGCGCCCCTCCAAGAAATGCTGCTCACTTACATCAAGAGAGACAATCACATGCTGACAGACATGCGCTAGATGAAGTGAAAATGTATGATCTGCCCAAGCAGAGCTGAGCTGCTCAAAACCTAAAGACTGGGAGGAAGTCCCTGCGACAGAAACGCTCTCAATCTATACCTTGTATGCGCTCACGCTCAGTCCAACAAGTTTGGTTTGCAGAATACAAAGAGGACAAACGGAACTCTATATTTTTGCGCTCACAGCAAGTGGGAAGGATCCTCATGAGTTTCGACACCTTCCTGGCGTTTGATCACAGCGGGGCCGTCTGATTGCGCCCTGCTTCAGAGCTTGGAAGTGCGATTGCTGACTACGGCTTGCGTCCTCAAATGTTGTCTTCAGAAGCCCTTCAACTTTGTGATACCGAACTTCAAGTTCAACTTCAACAAGCTCAGGACTCCTTGTTGCCGCCAACCGGTCAATAATGGGTTAAAGATAACCTGGCTTCAGCTTCAACAACAAGGCAAACAGCGTAAACCTAGCCCATCCTCCCGCATGACCCTGCTGTAGGTTGCGCGGAAAATGCGCTTGATAGACGCCCGCATCATGGAGCTAACGTCGTCTTCCAGCAGATTGTGGTTAAATAGAACGTACAAGGTGAAACCTCAGGCTCAAGTAGGTACAAGGAAGGCCTTGAAATTTCTGAAAGCTCGTGATGACCCTCTGCTCGCAATTGCAAACCTGCTCGCAAACTGTGCATGGGGGTAAAGTCCTAGGTGGGGCAGGCGGCCTGTTTGCTGTGGCGAGTGTGGAGCAATAAGGTTTAGAGATGGCTTCATCGTCTCTGCTGAGGCAGCGTCTACTTTGCGGTGGTTCTTTAGGTCTCCATTTAGCTCGCAGCAAGGAGAGACTTTGTTCTGCGACAGGCGCACAATGGTTTCATTCACAATGCTACCGCTCGACTGGGCTTCCTTTCCTGTTGGGACGGCAACCTCGCAGGCATCGTGCCGGGGTCATCTCGATGGACGGAGGCGCTTCAAAAGCAAAACGTCAGAGCACTGCAGCTACCGCCGGTGGCGAAGCTGAGCCCGACCACTCGCTGAGAAGCAGCATTGCGTCCAGGGCTGGCGAGGCCCCTGCAGAGGAGGCACTGGAGGAACAGGAGACAGAGGGCATTGCGGAAGAGGAAGATTATGAGGAGGAGGTTGTAATTGTCCAGCGGCCGGTGCGGCAGCGCAACGGCGCCAGCTACCAGGCATCCGTGCGCCAGGAAGCGGTCCCGTCGCCGCCCAGTTCGAGTTACCCAGGGTCTCCTCTTTTCTGGGTTGGAGTGGGAGTTGCGCTTGCAGTTGCTGGGTCTTGGATCGGGGGCAAGGTGAAAGAGCAGGCCGTGAACGCGGCCTGGAAGGCGATGACGAGTGGTGCTGGTAATGGCGGGCAGCCCGGCTTCAATCCGATGGGGGGACCCGGATCGAATCCTTTCGGCATGCCCGGAGGTGCCGGCCCAAACCCTTTCAACTTCCCTGGCATGCCCCCGATGCCTCCGCCACCGTCTGGGCCCCAGCCACCTAAGGCAACAGTTACAGATACAACGGCGACCCCCGTGCAACCCGCACCTAAAGCAAAGCAGCCTGCAACCCAAGCTGCACAACCCGCTGCAGCTGCTAAGGCCGAGGAAAGCACCGTCAAGCCCAAAAGAGGTATGCGGAGTCAGGGATGGTTGTGTTCGTATTTCCTTGGATGCACCGGTTCAGTCTCTCGTCCGTTGAGAGTTGTCCCTCTGCAAGTGCTTTTCCAAATTTACAGATGGGAGTGCCTAGCAATCGCGGAACGATGATTTTATTAGCTTTCCTGCATTGCTCTGAGCATATTCTGCTTGGGCCTTGGGGCATTCTTATACTGCCGGTGAAAGCTGAGCAGCTTTGTTATATTTGCAGCTTCCTTCAGAGATGTCAATCAGGAAGAGCTGAAGATAGAGGAGCAGAAGATCAAGGAGGAGCCCACGCGGGCAAACTTCCAGGAAGCTGAGGTTGGGCCTCTGCTCTGAAATGCTCTGCATGGTGGCAAAATACGCGTCGATTTTAACAGATTGGTTCGTAGCATGGAGCTTGTGAACCGTGAGAAAGAGCCTGTGGCCTTGATTGAGTACCAGACAACTTCCAAGCAACGGGCTTGTCCTGGAAGGAAAGTGATTGTTTTCGTTCTCTACCAGGCAGCATGATACCAGAAACTTGAGAACTTTACCAAATCGGATGCGGCACTTTGGGAAAACAACCTCCGGTCGCTGAACCATTGATGGTTTTAGAGCGGCACATTCAGACACCTCAACTTTTGTTTGCACGCTGTTGATGCCTGCATCAGGTGACGCAAGGACGATAGTCGGTGACAATCATGTGTGTGCAGGTGATCAACGAGGGGACGAGCACGAGCGGTGGCGCAGCCTTTGGCTCAGGTGAGTGCATTGGGCCCCGCGCCAGTAAAGTCCTGACAGAGCCGCATCATGCTACATCTCCGGTTTGACGAAATAACTGTGATGTTTTCTATCTATGTTGTTGTCATGGCAATCATTGGGATCGAGCAATGGATACAAAGCGAGTTCAGAGTCTGGCACTTTTTGGCCCAGGTGCCTCTGGCTCGAACATGACGGTCGACATGCTGGAGAAGATGATGGATGACCCCATGGTACAGCAAATGGTCTACCCGTAAGTACTGCTCCTTCCTGAGTCTTCTTCTGACCCCTCTCTGTGTGACAGACGCTTGTATGAACAAAGCTACGGCTTCTTTTGAACAGATTCGACTGTTTCGTCTTCCGTGCAACTTTTGATTTGTCTTAGCCTTATCTGGTTTGTCCAACATCGAAGTAACGGAGCACATGTTGCTCACAAATCAAAAATTGTGACCGGTCGGTTGGGTGGGTGGACTCGCAGCTATTGACACACTTCTACATGCAGGCACCTTCCGGAGGAGATGAGAAACCCGGAGACATTCAAATGTGAGTCCCTGAGAGGTTTGACAGCGTGGTCAACCTTTTCTTTGGCAGTTCAACGATTGCTGGCATGACGAAGAGACACTGGACCAATCTTTTGCACGTTTTCTTCCTTTACTCCTTCCATGCCCTGCCCGCAGGAGTCAGTGAAGCCACCTCAGATGCATAGCAACTGAAAGTTTGGCCTATTTCCCAGTACCTGTACTCTTATTGTCAACACGCATGCTGGCGTGGCCTTTGGTTCTTTCTGCTGACTAAAGGGGGGTTTGCTCATGTAGGGATGATGCAACACCCAATGTACCGGCAGCAGATGGAAGAAATGCTGTGAGCAACACCCTCTTCCTAGGGCCCCTGCCCCTGCAGCTCTCCTTGTTCCCCTTGTTTTCCAGTGAATGACACACGAAGCATCTAAACTAGCTGCCCCTTGTTGTAATTGTTTGTGGAGCTTAGGAGCTAAAGTCCCTTAGAGTTCAAGAAACACGGACCTCCTGCCGTATTGTCCCTGGTCGTTGCTCGTAAAGACCAGAGACGTTTTTAGACCAGTGTTTTCAAGTGCATTGAAGTGTGGTCACCGTGCTGATGTGGTCCAGTTCGAACATCGGAGGCAACGAGCAGCTTATGAAAGGCCTCGACATAAACAGCCCGGAAGTGAAGGAGCAGTTCGGTGAGGATCATGACATTACCCTCGGCGTCCTGCCTTTCTTTTATGTAGCATGACTCAGATTGACCAACTTGTAGTTGATTCTGTGGAGGACGAGGAGTTCGTTCAAGCGAATTGCCAGAGTGAGCGAAAAAGTGACTACTGCTTGAAGTCACTGAAGAGGAGAGAGTCCCATTGCTGCTTGGCTCGTGGACTAATTCCCGAGTCACGCCTATTCCCAAAAAACCATGACCACTTGCGTTTCAGACTTGGGACTGTCCTCGTTTTGTACCATCCTGAACATCTCTGACCCAGTGTCCTGCACTTTATTGGTGTTCAGATAAGATTGGCATGACACCAGAAGAGGTGGTCGGCAAAATCCTGTCCACGCCAGACGTCGCCCAGGCGTTCCAGAACCCGAGAGTGCAGGCAGCAATCATGGATGTGAGTCCAGCCGATTTTCGCCTAGCCCAAAGGGCTTAACTCAGCGTATGATTCCAAAAGGATAGGAAGTGCGACGCTTTGAGGGAAGCAAGTTGAAGTACGCTCTTCGGTTTGCAATATGAGTCGATTGTTCATCTCTCCCTTCTGTATCCCTTCGACGACGCATTTGTGAACGGACTGTGCAAGGCGTTCCGCTTCCAATCGTCGTTCGCACCTGGGAATCGAAATGCGTCGTCACCAGCTCGATCGGACAGATATATGACTGTATCTTGATGTTCCATTCAGATTGTGGCCTGGCGACAAAGCTGACCTTATCTTCTGCTCACATCGCAGGTAACAGCGAACCCGATGAACATCATAAAGTACCAGAACGACAAAGAGGTGAGGAGCAAGCTTCCGATCCTTCACCATGTCTAGGCACCGTCCCAGCTTGCTCTTGTTGTTCAAGTCGAGCTTCGGTTAGAACGAGTCGTGTTGTCGATCATACGAGTTCCCCTTTTGATCATGCTTGTATGGTGCGTCTCAGACTGCTTGTTGTTCCCACCCTGTGGTTCTCGGGGCATTGGCAGTTCGGTGTTATCCTCTGCGGGTTTACCCTTCGGTGGCCTGAGCGGCTTCAATCTCCGCTCCAAACCTTACGCAGGTCATGAACGTCTTCGACAAGATTTCGACACTGTTTCCGGGTATGCCTTAAGGAAGAGCGCACCAAGTCCAGCCAGCGATAGCTGCTTTAGTAGGGACGATCTTTGTCGTGCTCATATCTTGTCACGTGGGAACCTGGATTGTTTGATACCGGTACAGTAACTTGCGTCATAGATTCTAAATGGAAATAGTGGAAACAAGTGGCTGTGACTTGACAACTTGTGGCATTGAGTATGGCAAACGTACATCATTGCCATTGCCATGGTTGTGTTGTTCTCTCCGCGCGTGTTACCAAGTTGGACATGTGAGTTTCACCCCTGGCATCATTGTCGTTGATGGATCTTCGTACCATGCGCAGATCCTCCAATTCTCTTTCACATGCACGCTTTCAAAGAGATCACCGTCAGAGTCGATTTCTTACTACCGTATTTGTAGCCATATCAAAGTATGAAGGGTAGTCTCGCAAGATTCTCAACTCGTCGGCACCCTATAGATCCGGGCCCCTTTCGGATGCATTTCGTGCGGTGCGCGCCTCATATTCGATGCAGCTGACCTTCGCAGTCTCATTCAGAGCAAACCATGATGGTAACTTCTAATTTATTAACGCCCTTAGCCGCCATGGCCATGGAGCACGGTCTCCGGCAGACCCGGAATAGTTTGTTGACTCTGCAGCTTGCTACGGCTGCAAGTCATGTCCAATGCAGAGACCTAAGAAGCAGACTCCTACGTCGGAAACGAACCACCTAACTCTACTCGTAACTTTCAAGTAAGTTAACTTGTATGCGGGTGCGCAACTGATTGATGGAACCCTATTATGAGATGTAAGGCTGAACTGCAATGTTTGAAGACTAGCTAGGCTCTTTGAGGTGATTCCCCCTAAGCTGTACTTTGACAATGAACCATTGTAAGTGCACAATTTGAGCGGTTGTCCCAATGTCCAGCCCATGTCAGTCTATCGCAGTCGCCTTCGTCAGGAGTTCCACCAAACAGTGCACACCTGTACTTACATTGACTTTTGAGAGAAACATGATAGATAGCCGCATGTTCGAATTTGGACAATCACTAGCTACAGAAAGCTAGAGACGACCGTCGCCCGCATCCGATCGAGTGACATCGCATGTCACAAGAAAACATTTAATAATAGCCTCGCTTCCGGCCATATTATTGTTGGAAATGTGTATTGGAGACGCACAAGCTACCTATGGTGGGTACCGGCCGAGTCGATTCCGACTCCGGCCGCCACAAAATCGATTTAGCGCGTATCGAATATCGTCAGTGTTACCGGCGGTTCGCGTCACGGCTACTCAGGTTTATGTTACTCGGGCGGTACAAATACTCAGAGAATTTTGCCGGGCCGTAAGTAAGTGTGAGGAGATTCTTAAACAGTGTCAGGTTTTACACTTTGAGAGGAGCATCAAATTGGCACGCAAAGAAGAGCCATATGCAGGCTTATAAAAACCTCTGACAAGCAGAAAAAAATGTTGGGAGAGCGTCATGAAGGCTCCTTCGAAGCTCCAACATCTTGTTATGTTGAGGACAAATCGGAAGAAGCACCATCGTGGCTGCAAATTGGCCGCCATTGCTTGCTTCTAAAAAGCGCCATTCCCTACACTCCCGTTTCCATCTTCTGCACTCTCCTTTCAAGTTAGGTACCGCGGTACTCTAGGGTGGTTCGAGTCGGAACTTCCGATCGAAACCATGATTTTCAAATTTCACGTACGGTCAGACTTGATCGGTACCGTACCGCCGGAAACTCCGGAAGTTTCTGACGATCGGAATGTCAGACAGATTCTAATTTATGAACTCGGACCGGATTCTCAAGTACCGGTCTGCACGGTCGTCAGTACCGCGTACAGTAATTGTCGCGACGCGACACACCGGTGATTCAAATTTGTGACCGGATCGTCGCGCGATCGAGACCGCCGATACCCACCATAGGTTGCTTGTGCGGTCTTTGGGCAAGTCAACTCAAATGAGTGCCACAGCAACTCATGCAACTTGTCACTCCTCACACAGCTATAGAGCTACCGTATATGCCTTGGGCATCGTGTCAGAACACATGTGCAAGGGCGTCCGGAACTCCGAAAATTGGCCCTCGTGGGGGGGGGCCTGGAGGCCGGTGGGGTCAACATCTAGGGGCAATATTTACCCCTAGGTTAAATCGGGCATTCCAAGGAGGGGGGGGGGCTGGACGCCGGTTTTATCGGCAGAGAATCGGTTGGCAAGGGTTCCTGAGGGCGCGCGACGGGATCGCTTCTCGCCAAGCACCGACATGCAGCTGTACGCGTGTTCCGATCGACGATCTTCGACCGGGGCACGTGAACCGAGCCATTGACAGTGGCGCACCCCTTTGACATCCATTGACCAAATCCAGTAAGGCTGACGGTTATCTTGAGGCTTCTCTTTTGGCTAGCAAGCCCCTGTGCAAATTTAGAAGGCTGAATTGCGCTGCCTTGGAAAGGCTGGGACATCTAAACAATTCCGTACCGAGAACCGCTTCGGTAACTGCATAAGGGAACCGACCACCTTCACCGGCTGTCCTAGATTCCTATGCAGACCTCCCGGGGCTACCCCTTATTGTTCCCGGGCACGACCGGGTTGGGGTCAAACTCTTATGCATAAGAAGCCCTCGACAAGCTCCTTATTGAAAAGTGCTCTCTGAATATTAGATGGAAATCTGTTGCCCAAATTTTGTTACACTCTGTGCCGCTGAATTTCCTAGCTGAAATATTTGTCAGTGCGAATTCGTTGTCAGACTAAGCGAAAACATCAAGCCCTTATGAGCACAGCACTAGGTCAGATACTAACTCTATGGTGACTTTATAAGTAAGATTATACCACGCTATTTCCGAAGCAGTACTCTCTGCCCGGGCGTGGTTTTCGGAGTTCCGGACGCCCCCGCAAAAGTGTTTTGACACGATGCCTTGCGAGCTCAAGTTTCAGACGGTACAGGTCATGGCACCGTACGCGACTCACAACCGTCAAGCTTGACTGATCGGACGGCCACGTGGCCAATCGGCCGCCGCGGGCGGCCGGCCGGCCGCGTTGAAGAGGACCGTCTCGGAACTCTGGCAACTCTAGCTTTCACTAACGACAGCTTTCACTAAGATAGGCACCCGGGGGATGGGTGGGGTTAGTTTGGGGGTTAGGGTGGGTACGGGTGCGGAGAGGGTCATTGTTTAGGTTAGGGTTTTTAGTTGAGGTGCCCGGGGCTCCTGTATCTTAGTGAAAGCTCCTGTTAGTGAAAGCTAGAGTTGCCAATATCGTCTCGGACTCGGTGTAAACGGGTGCTCTCTTAGTGCATATAAGAGGCCCTGTCTGCTACAATGGACGTGGGAGGGAGCTAGGTTGAGAGTTGATAAAAGTCTTGGAACTAAAGGTGTCCTCAAATCCGGAGTCAAGAAGTGAGGCCCACAAGTGGAGAAATCCACTTTATAGCTTTGATCCAAGCTTAGGGAGCTCAACGCGAGCTCAGTCTGTAAGTGCAGTCTAATATAATGAAGTGCTGCAGCTCATGGCAGCTCGGGAGGATGAGCTTAGGTAACCTAAGCTCATCTTGTAAGAACCAATGAGAATCGAGTATTTATTTAAGAAGATCAAGTTACCGTTAGGGGGGGAAACCTCCAGCTCATCGTATAATCAAGGGTTGAGCTTATCTGCGTATCTACGGCTATAATTGCCTAATAAAGATCCACGTGTTACAGTCGGAGCTCTGGCAACTTTGATGCGAGTAGAACTGTCCGTCTAATACATATTGGACGGCTACGATGCTTCTTAGCTGCCCGGCTTTCAGCTAGTGGCCGCGCGCGGCCGGGCCCTCGCCGGGCCGGGCAGCTCGAACCGACGGTCAAATCTGTCCGCAGACCAATTGTCTGCAGATATCCAACGGCATGAATTACCCATTAGCAAAGCTGGTTCCTTGCTCCATTTCAAGTCAATGAGCAGTTGGCCAGGGCCAATGACCGCCCAGTGTACTGTATCGGCGGATCTGTCGCCTTAGGTTTGTCGACGGTGTAGCTACTGAGTACTTCAGAGTACTGTAGCAATCAAAGAAACTTGATTCTCCAGCACCATCTATTAATAGCGCCGCCTCTCCTGACATCATACTTGTGGTCTCAGATTGTCGTCGCTTTCTCTTTCCTTCCTCAGGTGCTGATCAGCAAACAATCGAACTTCGGGACTCAGTTTTGGTGCTAGCTTTGCTAAGGGGCCGCAATTGTGAAGGTGAAATTACCTGCCATATTGGAATACCTGAACGAAGCGGGAAGCTGCGCCAGCAACAAGGCCGAGCAAGCAGCCTGTGCATCAAGTGCTTCTGCTTTGTTTCTTTTTCCACTTCTGTGGCGGCAGGATGATTCCCCCTTTACAGTCCCTTGTCAAGTATGACAATCCTGTGCAAGTGAGCACAGGAAAAGGCAAATCAAAGACCCTGAAAGGAGACAAAGGGACTCTGAAAGGTACTCTACCAAAGGTAAGCTTCTTCGTAACATTGAGATCCCAGATGCTCATGCTTAGGAAGAGATTATCATCACTTCTTGGAGCTGCGACTCGCGAAAGCGTCAGTGGTTGCTCCTTCCTGCCGTTGAGACTTGACCTCGGGAAGCACTATCAAGGGGTTTTCTTTACCCAACAGAGCTCCAACGCCCTTAGATTGATCATATAGGTCTTGGCTTGCAGGGCACAAAGATCCTTCCGCCAGTCGAGCAAAAGCCAGGTTTCACGCAGACAGAGGACATTTTGAACAGCATACTGCCGCCAAGGTAAGGTTAAGGCGTGTAAGAGCTGGAACCATTCAGCGGCATGCTTGGTCAGCAGTGCAATGCTGATGTTGAAGGTGGAACACTTGTTCCTTGCAACTGATTGAGTCAGGTACCTGGACGCGAACTTTCCGCAATGTTATTTTGACCATCTACATGGACGAGCTGTGCGGTACAACCAGGACATAAGTGAGGTAAGAAAATACCGTGATAAGAAGGGAATGGCAGCTAAAGTAGCCAACTGTTCGAATTACGGACCTTTGTCTCTACTTTGGCACTTGCAGGGAGTGGACGGCGGAGGATAGCCAGCTCTGGGTGCAATATGTGTCCAGCACCCCAGCCACACGGTTAGATGTGATTAACCTTCAGGAGAGATTGGACCAGCAGCTGCAGCAGCGGCAAGCAAGGGAGACGGGGATCTGCCCTGTACGGGAGGAGCTGTACGCTCAGGTTGGGAGCACAGCCCCTGGAAAAAGTGACGTGGCCCTTTTTCCGAAGGCTGCACTCTTGGTTTCAAACATGAGAGAGGGGTGGAAAGATAGAATCGGTTTGGGGGCAAGGACAAACAATTCATCTGCCTTGCATTCGACAATAGCTTGCCTGAGCCTGATCAGGCACTGTTGTCAGGCCAGAACTACCAACGTTTTCAGAACCTTTTCAGGCTCCCGGTGAATGGAAACATGTGAACCAGGTGATGCTTTGAACAGGACTTCTGCAGGGGGTCTCGGGCGTCTTGACGGTCTTCGTCTCTTATTGAAACTTGATGTGGTGGCAAACTTTACCACCGCTGATGGCGCTCTTGTCGATTCATGCAGTGCTTTGACGAGCTCATCAGGCAGGTGACAGTCAACTGTGCCGAGCGCGGTCTCTTGCTTCTCAGGGTACGGGACGAGATGAGAATGGTAAGCCTCCACGTTCACAATGCAACGAACCACCTGTGGTTGCTGAAGCGTTTGCCAGTGTTACAGACCGTCTCGGACCCCGTCAACTTGCATTAATCCTACCTTCACAAGTTCTGACAAACTCGTTAGCATGCAATGCACTTCAAAAGCTGAAAAGCGTGCTTTTGAATCCCATCCGTAATACGTCCCTCTCTCTCTTATGTGGCAGACCATAGCCGCGTACCAAACTCTGTATGAGAGCAGCGTTGCCTTTGGCATGCGAAAGGCCCTGCAGACGGAGGCCGGGAAGGCAGACATGGAGGTCCGCATTCAGCAGCTGGAAGGGGAGCACAAGGAGCTCGAGCGGCAGCTCCAGGAGTGGAAGGTAGGCGGAGCAGCGACAACGGCTTCTGTATGTTCACTCCGCTTTCGTGCCTCCTTCAACAAGACACGTCTGATCTTTGATGACATTCCGAACCCTCTCATTTACTAGTCACTCGAATGCGGTAAGTAGCTGACGTTTGAATAAAGCGCCATCTCCTAGATTTCTGAAGACGTCCAATGACTGGCCACCCGCGCTCACAGTAGACTTTGCTTGAAACGGATGGGGCAGGTCGCCTGTGAGCAATCATATGGGGGCTCCCGTGTCCCAGCTTAATTTTCACCGGGGTTGCTTTAGAAACGGACGAGGAACTTACTGCTAATGTGGACGGATCAACTCTCTTGCCTTTCGGGGCGCATGGTGTGTTAAGGGTATTCTTTCAGGTCATTTTTCTCCGGCCGACCCATACGAAAGGCCTTCCATTTAGTGGTCAAATTTTACCCTCATTTGTTTCTGCTTTGAACGTTCAGAACAAGGCGGAGGCTATCGAGAAGCGGGAAAGCGAACGGCGAGCTCTGGACGAAAAGAAGCACGCCGAGGAGGTAGCCTACCTGCAGCGATCGAACAAGCAGCTGAAGCAACAGCTGGAAACGTTTTTAGCGCCACCAAAGAAGTAAGATGCTGCTAAGATGGGGAGATCTGACCGATTTGAATGGCAGATAGCTCTTGAGAAGAACACTAGTATCTCTGAAGAATTGGGAATGGGGAATCACAAGCGCAGTTCATTAAGGTGCACGGTGGATATAGTACGGGATGCAGACATCTTTGAGAGATAATGAAATTAGGAGTAGTTTTGTATACAATTAATGGGAAGTTCTAAAGCTTTCAAGACGTCGAGGCTGATCAGACTGTTGGTGCAGAATATAGGGGGAATTTCCAAGCGAAGCGCTGCAAGTCAACATCCAACATGATTGCAACTCTGTGTACTTTTTGCAACGGCACAACAGAAGTTACCAGGTCAAGCATGTTGGCCTTAGTCCGTACGATTTCTCAGCAAACCAGCTCTTCTGAACGTGTATGCCAATGATTCATTCAGCATTAGCAAGTTGCTGAATTCTTACCAAGCTCGGGAGACCCTTACTGAAGTGCTACCCTGTTGAATCTGCAAGAGCTTGTTCTGCAGCAGATTGACGGTCTGGTTCCTTGTGCCTGACGCGGTGCCGCCGCATGCTGAGTTGATCATCTCAGTTACTAGGTCAAAGCTTTTACCACATTGTGCCATCGTAGGCAATTGGTACGTTCCCTTTCTAGCTGTGCAATTCGGCCTATGCATAGTGTTCTTCGGCTCTCAAATACTCCGACCGGCCTCGAATTACGATTATATGATCCAAACCATGCACATGCACATAATTGTGGCGTGGTGGCCCGCTGCATGTGGATCTTCATGCTGAACCTGCGCAGTTCATCACATTGACTTTTTGTAGTCCGACGATTAAACATGCAAGATGCTCATGAAACGAACGTGCCGCCGCCATGATTGATTGGATCGAGGCTTGCCTGGGTGCTGGCACTTCCTTGCCTTCGAGATGCACCGGTATCGATCTATGCTGTGAGATATCCAAGCGCTATATCATTGCTTTTCTGTGAACAAGAACCCGCAAATACGGCTGCACACACTTCGTGTCCAGCAGCGTATAGATCAGCAGACTTATTCGAAAAGACCGTTCTTTCTGAGGTGACGAGCACAACTACTGCCAATGAGCCCTGCTCTTTGAACTCTTAGAGGCGCCTAAAGCACACGGTCCTAGGCCGTACCCTCCTTTCAGAGGCCGTACCGACATTAGGAAAAGTCGTCCATCATGGACTGCGCTTCCTTGACCGCGTGCAGGCCCGGGCACGTTGCCCTGAACGCGGCGACGCAGCTGCCTAGGGATAGAGCGGTGTCTGAGGGCCGCTGGTCGCCGTCCATCTCTGCGGCCAGCTCGAACATCTGGTCCACCGTGGCCTCGTTCAGCCATGCCTGGAACCACAGAAGTTCACGGTTGACAGAAGGAAGGGGACTAACTAAGCTTTCAGATCTCAGATCTGCAAAAGTGCACGTCGTCCAACTTGTTTAGAAGCCCACAAAGGCGAGAAGGGCTGCAATATCGCAACCAGGCTTTCATCAGTGATACGGGCTCAGAAACTTCTGAGGCGTTTCAAAACGGTCCCGTTCGACTGAACCTCATCTTGTTCTGGACATCAAAGATTCGGCGGACCCATGCAAATTCTTGGTAAAGCAGGAGAAAATATGTACTGTTTGCGTAAAGGAACTGTGACTCAGACAGCATTACCTTCTTTGCACAGCGGATACAGGGGGCGCATTCTCACCGGCACGTCGAGCTGCTTAATGGCTTGGTGAAAGCCCTCCCTGGTAACCCCCGGCGCGTCGCCCTCCTTGAACCGGTCCAGCACGGTGTGAACGAGCTCCTCGTCCTTCTCTTGCAGCTGCGAACTTTTGGTCACGAGAAAGCACAGCAGCCGATCCAGGGCCACAGGTGCCGCCACGTCACCGCTGACGTCGCCCGCCGCCTGTTCCCCGTTCAGGGGGCTTGGATTGCGCGGTCCCCCCCTCTGCTGCATCCCCCCTACAGACCCGCTGCTGACCCGGGCAGGCTCCGCACGGTGCGGTGGCCGCCCATTCTGGCGGCTCCCCGCGCGCGAGTGAGCGCCCATGGGCGACGCGGCGCGCGTCGCGGCCGCGTTCAGCGACGAATCTTTCTTCGCACTGGGCGACGTCGCGGCTTCGGACCGGCCCGCGAAGGCGGCGTCGTCGCCCAAGGTCCCCGCGCGGTTCTGCTCGCGCATGTCCGCGAGGACCGCCTCGATCTGCTCGCGCGGCCGGGTTTCCAGAACGCGCGCGACGACGGCTTCCACCTGGGCGGGGGTGAGGAGGACGGAGTCCCCGCGCTCTAGTTGGCTCCAGAATGCGGCCTGCCCGTTGAGGGACCACGCACACACTTCCAGGATCTGCAGCAGGGGCCGAGCAAGGGGCAGAATCAGATTGGATGCGCGGTGGCCCATCTCATGCTCTGACGGTTTCTCGCATCAGGCCTGCCGCCGAAGGCCCATGCTGCCTACATAGACCACTTGCAAGCGGGTCTACGTAGGCAGGTCTATGTAGACATGGTCCGCTTGCTGCCTACATACACCACTTGCTTAAAGGTTCAGTGAGCAGCAGCAAACGAACAGCATGCCTTCCGCGTGATCCGATGCATACATGCGACCGCACAACCGGCCCCCCAACACTCCCTCAGCCGGGTCCCCACCTGCATGACCGAGTTGACGCCGTGCCCCGGAAGGTCGTCGTAGAGGCCGGTGAGGCGCGTGAAGAGGCCGGCCAGGTGGTCGGTTCGCCGCCGGTAGAAGGCGCGCAGGGAGGCGAGCATCTCCTGCAGCTTGGCCTGCGCCAGGCTGCGCAGCCCGAACATGTGCTTCAAGTGGCCCACCACCAAGTCGCTCAGCGGCGCGCGGCCGCGGCCCGCCTTGTCGTCCACCTGCACAGGTTTTACGCGGGGTTTGAGATGCGGCTTCTGCAGTGGTTTTAACTTGTGGCAGGAGTTTGTGGGGAGCGAGCCAAAAGGAGCGATAGTCGGGCTGTCATCAATGAAGGAGACGGCTGTAGGCTGACTACTCAATAGGCATCCGGGTTGCTTATCAAAATGGAACCTTTTGAGCTCTTCTGTAGCTCGTTTTCAACTGTGAGCTTTCGAGAAGAGTTTCGACTTCTGGCCCGGAAGGCCGCTTCGGTCGCTTCCATTGAAGCCTGCAAGCGGAGGTATAGCGTCTGTGTCGGATACATGTGCGAACAGAGCAGGGACAAAGCTTAGGGTTGATCGTCCCCTCTTTCAAGCTCTCGTTTTGAGAAAATAAGAGCAGTCAGCTCCGCGAGAAAATCTCACCGCATTCGCCGCCTGCTTTGCCCGGTAGATGCTCCCGATCAGCGCGCGCAGCTTCTTGGCCGGCATCACCCGGGCGTTGTTCACCAGGAACGTGCTCAGGTCTTTCCCCCGGCGCGCCCCCTTCAACACCAGCTCCGCTCGTCCACTCACCGTGGCAGCCTTCCCGCCCTCCGAAGCTCGCTGCTCTAGTTCCCGTGCGTCGAGCATCTCCGCGCGTTTCCCGTGCGGGCTCTCCGACCGCCTTCCGTGCTGGCTGCTTGCCCGGTGAACTGCCCCGGCCGCGCCGCCGTTTTTGGGGCTTTCTTCTTCCTTCTCCTCCTCACCCACACTCGCGCCGGGCGCCCCCTCTTCGATGAACCGCTCCCAGGCGGGGGGGATGTGCATCCGTTTGGAGAACTCAAGCGGCGCCAGCCCCTTCGCTTCCCGCCGCTCGTTCACCCTCTGCTTCCACTTGCCCCCCGACTGAAGCGCGCGCGTTGCCGGCATCAGCCCGTTCTCCCCTGTCACCTTCTCGTCGTCCGACTCCATTTCCAGGCGTGTCGCTTCGTCTTCTCCGTCTTCTTGCACGGACGTTCCTACCTCCCGGGAGCTCGGCCTGCGTTCCTGCGCCGGTCTCTGCCACCGTTTCCGCCCGGCGCGCTCCCACCGGGCACTGCCGGGGCCGGAGACGGTGACCCGGGCAGTCTGATCACCGAGTAAGACCGCCTCCGTCTGGCCCTCCAGGCGCAGTACGACTGAGAACTCCTGCTCCCCTTCTCCAAACTCGTCCTCCAGCAGCTGCACCCAGATCGACTGAGGGCCGACCGCGCCTTCCGGCCACGTCAGCAGGCCCTCTGTCGACGCGAAGTCGAGCCCGGCGTGCGCGGACCTGCGACAGCCGGAAGGGAGGCCTTCGGCAAGGGCTTCGCAAGAGGAACCTGTTTACTTCGCTCTCGAGAAGAACCTAAAAATTTCTGTAAGAGTTCTTCGAACCTCATTGCCGCACTGGCGGTGGGGGCCGAGAGGCAAATCAGCGCCCACAGATTGGCGGGCGGCGGCCTTCTTCAAAGAATGGTAGACACCTCGGCATCAGGATTTTGGCAAGCTTTGGATCAATTGTACTATTTTCTTGTGAAGATACGCGATCGGTCGGTGGCTCACCCGTCCAGTGTGAGATAATGCACGCCGACCTCCCCTCGTGCGCCCCCGGTTCGCTCCACGCGCAGCTCCACTTGTTCATCCCCCAAAAGGGCCGCGCACTGGGTGGCCAGAAAACGAATGCCGCCGTGCACTTGGACGACTGACGCGATGCGTGCGTCGTCATCTGCGCCAAAATAAAGGCAGGTCTTCCTCAGTAAAGCATTACTGGAGGGTCCTTTAGTAAAGCAACGGAAAAGACCAAAGGACCTCGCCACAACATGCCTGACCTTCGCACTCCAAGCGCTAACAAGTGTAACAAGAATCTGCAACAGGCTCTGTCTCGATCTCACGAATCGGCCAGTCAACCAAGACATCGTCCATCTAGACGGTACTGTTTGAACATTATTGGAAAAGCATTCGAGCGTTACCCTGTGGGATCTGTGCGCTCTCCCTGAGCGCCAACTCCTCCGCTTTCATCCGCTCTAGTTCTGCCCTCAGCACCGCGACCTCCTCCAGCGCGCCCTGCCGCGCGCGCTCACGCTCGTCCGCCTGCGCGCGCGCGCGCGCATTCTCCTCCTGGAGCCGCTGCACCTCCGCCCGCCATTTGGCGTCCGCCAGGTCCCATTCGTCCGCCCATCTTCTTTCCGAGTTCCGGCGCTGGTCAGACGGAATGGCGCTAGCATCCTCTCGAGGGGTTGCTGGCAGCTCGGGAGAAGCCCCCCCCGGCAGTGGAGACTCGGGCACGGCAGCGGGTACTTCTTCCGCTGTTCCGCCGCTCCGGCCGTGCCTCTCCTTTGGAGACGGAACTTCGTAGATGGCCGCGGACAAGCGCAGGAACTCGCCGTGCGTCTTCCGCCGCTCCGCTTTCTCGCGCCGCCGCTGCACCGTCTCCGACAGCGACTCGCTCCGCTTCAGCCGGGGCAGAGGCGACCCGCCGATTCGCAAATCAGGTGACCGGGGCCCCGGGGACACCGGGGAAAGGTCGCCACGATCGGGCTCCAAGACGAGCATCGCACTGGGAGCGGTCAAGTCGAGCGTCGCTGGCACGTGGCTCTTGAAGCGGTTCGAAGCGAGCCGTTCAAAAACTTTGGGCAGAGTCTCTGGGTCAGCCGCTGGGTGCTCTCCACCGCGCCGTGTCCCCCGCCGACTGTGACTCGGAGAAACAGCCTCACTTTTGGTTGTTTCCGTATCCCCAAGCCCCTCGTTTTCAACGGCTGTCGGTCCCTCTTGAGAGCTCTCTTCCGCAGATTGGTTGCCCGCTAGTGAAGATTGTTCCGCTCCATTGTCTCCGGAAACAGTAGCCTCCTCAACATGGACGCTTTTCAGATACTCCCCTTGCGATTGGTCTTCGTCAGCGGCTTCTTCCATTTTATTCGCATCCGTTTGTGGCAGCCTCTTCTCGCTGACTTCATGCCACTGTGACGTACTGTCGTCTATGTTAGCTTCGCGCAATACGTTTTGATGGCTGTCCGCTGGAGCTACTTCTTCCGTACTGGGCTCGCCTTCATGAGCCGACGCGGATTCCGCTTCCTCCGGTGACTCTGGTATGCTCAACTGAGCTTCAAAGTCTCCTTCAATCATTTCGTTTTCTGCGCTCACTTCCGAAGGCTCCACGTTCTCTTGCCTTTGCCCAGTTTCTGCCTCCGCCCCCCCAGCCTCCGTCTCTCGTTCTCTTTCTCTCCCACCTTCCGGCCCCTGCCTGCCATCGGGTGCCGATCCCCCCGCCCTTCTGAACGGATTCCACACACGCTTTCCCGGCGGCCCCTCATCCGTAACTCCAGTGCTCTCCACCTTCTCGTCTGCACCCCCTTGAGCCTCTCTCCTCATGGCTACATCCGTTTCAAAAACCCTCTGCCCCCCTTCTCGAGACACAGCGCTCTGCCTCGACCCTCTGTCGTCTTTCTCCTGCCCTGCCTCCCTCCCGGCCGTGCCACTCTCCCCCCGACCGCCTTCCCCGGGCACCTGCTCAGTCTGCACGCCTTCGTCGACTCTGACCGGGGCTTTCACCCGCCGTCCCCCGGGCGCCTTTTTCCCGGCCACCGCCCGGCTGGCCGCCATGCCCAGCTTGAGCCCCGCCAGAAACTGCTCCGACTGCGCGATCGCCAGCGCCGACTCGCTCTGCGAGCTCTCCGCAATCTCCGGCACCGTCGCGTTGTCGTTCTCGTCCTCTGACAGTTTCGCTGCCCCGCCCTTCATGGACGGCCAGATGCCGTTGGCCGGGGGCGCCGCGGGGCCCCCCAGGCTGCCCAGCTTTACAGTGGGCAGACGCAGGAAGGGGTTGCTCGACGCAATCGGGGCGCCTGCGCGGAGGGGCGACCAAAGCCTTGACAAACAGCAAAAGATAACCCGCCTCGTTTTGTGGCTAGTTATCTCGTGTCTCGCTGTCGCTACTTCCCGCAAGCAGTCCAGGGTTTCAAACTTGGCAGAAGTGAGCCGTGCCTCGCGACACCGTGATATCTCTGCCCTTTGTTTAAGGATCTCGGCTTCGCCGTTCTGGCAGCAAGTCTTCCCTCGGAGGCACGGCCAAAGACTTCGAAAGTAGAACCCGTCACAACTTCGATTCAGACCAAGCCACACAGGCAAACTGCACGCAGTCGATGCCACGTGTCAGCCGACCAGCTGCCTGGCGCCTCACCCTGCCGTGGCCGCGCTTGCTCCGGTGCCACCACGAGGACCTGCGCCAGCCTGTCCCCGTGCTGCTGCAGCCACGTGTCCATCGCCGCTTGGTCCTGCTTCCGCTCGAGAGCAGTCAGCGCGCGCCGCAACCCGGAGTTCTCCTCGTGCAATACGCTGGCCACCTGACGCGTGAAAGACACGGGTTTCAATCTGTCGTGCTATTCACGGGATAGAGGCGCACCAGTTTGTCACCACTCAAAGAAACAAAGGCTCTGTCAACTCGGTCACACTGAAACGCTGCGCTTTCCTATCCCACTGTCTTGCAACGTCAAGTCCATTGCATTGCCATGCTAGTAGCTACCAGAATCTCTGCGCGCTTCTCGCCTTTGTTTGCAGGAGACCCGTAAAGGGGAACAATTTTTCGTTGCCAGGGGCAATAAGAGGGTACGGCGCGGCTCTGTACTTGCTCGAGGTGAGTTCTGCAGGTAGAGTCACGTGCGCATAGATGCAAAGGACTCCCTTTGCAATCTTGATCCTAGGGCGAAAGGCCGAGTTGGTGGGTGACCTGACAAGTATCATCTTGTTGCCCACCTTTCTGGAGTTGGCCAGCGCTTTTTGCAGCGCCGGCATCCTGCGGTGGATCTCGTGGAAGCACGCCCCAAACATCAGCTCCGCTTTCTCCGCCGCATCTGGCACACCACAGAACAGCCGGGGGGGAGTCAGCGCACGCGAAAAAAGCGGGCCCAATTTAAAACAAGTGGTCTATAATGCGTACAACGGGTGGATCCTTGTTGCCACCGCACGGGATATGAAGGAGAACAAAGCGACCAAAGCGACCAGAGCGACGCGTGTCTTGAAAGGGACGGCCCTAGATACACCGTTGGTCACTCTTGATCATTAGCAGTCTCGACAGAGGGTTACGGTGCTATCACGCACTCGAAGTGTTTCAAGTCGGGCAAACGTCAGCGAGGGCCGGACTGCCTGAACGGCTCATTCGACATCTTAGCGCGTCTGTAACTGCTCATGAAAGTCCATCCTTCGCTTCATACTCTTGCAGCGCACACACGAAGTCGCGTCTGATCGTCTCTGCCCATTACAATGAACTAGAGAACTAGAGAACTAAAGAATGGCAGGCTCGATCGCCACTTATCCACGTTCCCAACACCACAGGCGAGAACTCGGTCCCTGCAAACGAGCACGTGTGTTTGCCGCCGTCCTCACCGCGTTCGCCCTGCCCCGCCTTCTTCAGGCTCTCCACCAGCAGCCCCTTAAACGCGGCCATCTCGCTGCGTGATGCGGCGCTGAGCATCGGGTACAAGCTCCTCTGCCACAGCGCACTACTCTCTGCTCTCGTCGGCGGCACGGACCACGACCGCTCCTGAGCCACCCCCCCTGAGGAGTCCTTCCCTTGCACCCATGCCACTTCCGCATCCAGATCCGACTCGTTCATATGCCCGGCATGCTTCAAGTGGGTGTATTGCACTGTCTTGCTGCGGGTGTTCCCGTTTGGCAGCGGTTGCAGTGCCCGCTGAAGGGCAGGCCGCGAGCGCGGGCTGGCCAGCTCGTGCAGCTGCTCCAGCATCGCGGTCCGGACGCGGTCCTCCGCGCCGATGAGCAGCCCCGCGGCGTTCTCTGACAGCTCGGCGCCCCGTCGTTTGCTCCGTTTCGGGGGGCACGAGTGTGGGCCCTCCGCACCTCTTGAAGCTGGGACTTCCAGATCGTACTTGGTCGATGCTAGTGGGGATTGAGGGGTGGGCTCGGTCAGGTTGGGGGCTGCAAGAACAGAGGGCCCGTGCCGAGCAAAAGATAGGACGCTCCGGGATGGGCTCGGGTAAAGGGCTTCTTCGGCAGGGTCCAGGCTGTCCTGGCATGGAAGGTGGTTCGTGAGGGCACTGATACTGTGCCGGGAGAGGGGCACCTGCGGCCTGCAAGTGGCAAAAAGGAGGGTGAATGTTGAGAACACCGTAATGCTGTATTGTTGCAGCTTACCACTCATTATTATTCTTGGAGGTTCGAGATATCAGCATTCATGAAACAAGGTCCCTAGGAAATATAAAACTATCCATACAATCTTCAGAAAGATTTCTTTACTTACCACAGATTACCACTTTAACCAGAAAGGGGGCTCTGCAATGCTGCATCGCACGGTTTGAAAGAAACGATTGACAAGGAAAACATGTCCCCTACCTGGTGTCATTCTCCCCGTTTTCCTCATTCGCCCCGTTTGAGTTCCCTCCCACGGGTATCTTCACTTCATGTCCAGCTGGCCTCAACTTCGAAGGAGTCTTTGCTCTGGCTCTTGTTACGACTGGCCGCAGGCGCTCTGCCTCAATGCTCTCTGTTAGCAACCGCGCGTACGGACTCTTTCTCCCTTTTGGCTTTGCCTCTTGTGCACTCGGCGCCCCCATCTCATTCTCATGCGAGTAGCTGTTCCCTTGCGTGCTCAGGGCTCCCAACTGCTCCTCGGACGCCGCCTTGCTTTCCCACGCAGCTTCAGCCTTCCCCTCAAACGAGCTCCGTTTACTTCGCCCCAGGCTCCGCTCTCGCGCAGCTTTCAGGTTGTCCAGCTGCTTATGCCCCACCCAGGGGATGTTCGGAGGTGACTTGTGGCCGCCGGAAAGAGGGGGCAGCGCCGGAACCATGGCCTCATGATCAGACGACTGCGCAGCATTCGCGTCGAGCATCAAGCTTTTTACCCCTCGCTCTGGACCCATATTGCTTTGCGGCGAGGACAGTTGGAGCGGGCTTGGAGCTGCTTTGACCGGCCCAGGAGGCCGTCTCTCATACGGGCTCATGGGCGCCACCCTTGGTATTCACTGGTACTCACATTCTTGCCACCAGCAGGTTTCTACAGTGCAGAGAGAGGCGCGCTTTGCTTCAGCTCCCCGACTTGCTTGTCACGTACAGAAGTTACAAGCAATGTGGCAGCAGCTCGCACGTCGACTCGGGTTCAAGATATTCTCTGACACTTCTACTTACTTACATCTACTAGGAGGATCTAATGCCTGCCAATGCGGAGCCTGGCTCCTGAGGCAGCAGATACTGCAATCCAGTTCGTGGAGTCCCAGTATCTGCTTGCCGAAGCCCCATGAATATTGCTGAAACCTTATATTGAGTACCTAGGTGGTGCATTTGTACCAAGAAAAATGAACGTCCTCTTCTTGGCTTTGATCTTGAGCCAGTACTGGCACTGGTATGCACAGAAGCCTGGACTCTGCTCTGGATCACTGCATATTTATGGAGCTCGGGTGGACCGTCAGCCGTACGGGCTGAGTTCGTTCCCACAATGGCCAGCTGACAAGATCAAACTGCGCGCGCAAGACGCATTTAAAATATCCACGTCCAAGAATGGAGAACGACTAACCGTACAAGAGTTTCACCGTCGATGGAGCGGCTGGCCTACCGTACCGCTCTGGTGAAGTTCATCCTGTGAGACTGGATATCGTAATGTGCATTACTCGGTGCACTGTAGTATGGTAGTACTAAGTACGTTAGAGAGGGCTCAATTCAGTTGATTAGTTGTCTCACATGAGTCTCACGGCATCATCGTTCCACTGCAGTCTCTGAGTAATTCAATCGAATGGCTGGTATCAAGCACTTTCAAGCTCTTACTCAGGCTTGGCAGTCTGATTTAAGCTTTTAAGTTAAGAGCCTGCCGTCTCTTTAAAAGCTAGAATGTTCGGTTTCATCGTGTACGATTGCTATCGGAGCGTTCCAACGATGTCCCCGTGCCGTTGCTGATCATCGTTGCGGAGTAGTTCCTTCAAAGGCAAGTTCGACCAGTATCATTTCAAGGTAATGAATTGTACGCGTGCGAGGGCGACATCAAGAACGGTCACTAAGTACTATGTTTGCATCACAGTGGGCTACATGATTGGGGGCCCTGCCGCATGATAAAGTTTACATAGCACATGAATATGTGTAGTAGGTTACAGTCAATAACTAATTTTTGCATGAGGTACGGTAGCGACCACGCTACCAGTACCCGGGCCGCCCGAGCTGTTGAATAACTTCATAGTTCAGATCTCATGCTTTGAGCTTTTGCAACGCGCAACTGTAAGCTAGTGGCGCGCGGATGTATTGTAGCTAGAGGCTAGATGCATGAATTGTTACTAGCTAGATAACATTCATGCAAGTGTATCATGCACTGTTACCTTGAACGTCGGATGCTTAGCATGATTTGATGATTGGAATGTATAACTTGACATTTATACAATTTAGTTGAGTCTATGCAATTAGATCTTGCGCGCATTGAATGACAAGATGCGTCATGACGTGTGAACTGTATATGATGCAAAGCACGTGATTTATCTTCTAATCTTAATGATGCATTCTCTTTTCAAAACGCCGTAGCCACATGAGCCACAGGCTTCCATGGCTTATACATGGGAATCAATGCTCGAGTTCCGAACGCCTAGCTACGTCCTACCGAATCTCCATGTGCTAACTTAGTCCAAATCTAGCTCCGAGCTATTCATGGCATATTTATGTGGTCCATGCAATGGACTGAGATACGTATGCTAGCAAGATTGCTACAAATAATTGCGGCTAGAATAAAACGGTTGGAACTAGGATTAGTACTAAGTAGCAGACGGCGGCTAGCGATGTGCCAGCTATCTCGGAAGGATGTCTGAGACCGCAGTCGGACCGAGAAGGTGCATGAGCATGGATCATTGTAGTGTTTTGGTACATATGCTACATGTGCCGGCCAGTATAAAGCTTTGGGCCCCGTACTTCACAGTTTCGGGGATCACTTCACCGTCGTGGAGCTAGGGAAAGAGGTACCAATATAGGCCGACATGATCGCGGCCAATGGCCGGTTGCGCACATGCAGTACATGACGCGCGATCCGATGATGTTGCGCGTGCTCCGGGTCGATCATTCATCTTGCTGAGTCGGCCGTTGTACTGGATCCCACATGTGCAACGTACATCAACTAAGCTGACAGTTGCTCATTCAGCAGTGGAGCGGTGCCGACATTCCAAAGTTTGCTTCAATCAGGATATGCTTGGGCCGGAAATAGCGAACAACGTCGCCCAGGACGTATTGACATGAAACGTTGTGACATGTGCATTACGCCGTTATGATCTCAATAGGGCCTGCTGCGTGCAGGCCCTATCATTCCTGTCGAGACAAATTGATTCCGACTGCAATCATTACCCGGCAACAATGACAACGTGACAGGGCTGAAGTACGAATGGCAACCGTGCACCAATTCAGGAAGGTTTGATTTTGATCATCTTCTACATGCACGAGTCATTCCAAGTACATCCTTCGGAAGTAGAGCTCCTAGCCCTACGTACTGTCAATCACTTCAGTGACATGGCAAGCACCACAGCACTTGACAACGGGCACTTCAACAGATAGAATTGGGACTTGGCAATGTAACAATACGACGGACTCAGAGCTTGCTGATTCCGCCGATGTCATCCGCAGATGTTGCCATCACTCAGCGATCAAACACCAAAAGAATGTCCGTCTTTCAAGGTTGCAGCAAAAACTTGAATATGTCTGTTAGTGTGATTATCCCCTCGACTCGCCTACTACCTGCTTCTACGCAAACGATCCTCCGAACACCTGCAGAACATGGTGTAAGAATTTAAAAGACTCAATGACCAGAGACATCTGCCTGTGTGCACGGCTCCAAAAGCTATTTGCTTTCTGATGACACGTATTACAGGCTGGGTGGGTTTCTCGTGACTAGAGGTCTCAGCAGAACGAAATCACGAGTTCGATATCTGCAGAACACATTTTCGGACTTGTGACATCCTTCCAACCCATCACCAGCTGTATCAGGAATTCAACACTTGAACTCATGGATGACGGCAAATCAGGACAATTGTAAACACCAAGAAATCTCACCTGGAATCGTCAGTTTTTCTACTACGGTCCGTAATGAGTCGGAACGGAGGCAGATATTGTATCGCTGTCCGATGCCCCCCCCAGCTCCACCCCCAAGCCCGCTGGTGTCTTGGTTTCGATACGAGAGAGCCTGCAGAGCACAATAAGGTTTGAACACCGCACACCGCACATCGTAGAGGCGAGAAAAGGCTACTGCACCGGGGCTTTTCCTACATCTAAAGCCGCCTACTTCGTGTGTTACATTCAAAAGCAGAAACGAAGGCCCATCCACAGACAGCCCCTGCTAAGGTCCTGGATAGATGGCATAACCAAGGTCGAGCTGACTATACCACGTGGGAAAAAGACGGAGGTTATACGAACCTCCTACTGAAGCCAACTTCTGAGAGATTCAAGGTGCTCCTTGCAGCTTTCATGAGTCGGGGGTAGATTTTAGCGCGCACGCTATTTTCAACCCTCACCTCTTTTAGCGTCAGATCTTGCAGTTGCCGCCGTGTGTAGATTCGGTCACGAGCAAGTGACGTGATGTCGTTGCGGGCATAAACGTCTACCAACGCACCATTATCGTCAACTACAGGCAGTGCGCTGACATCAACTGCAACCCGAGACAACAAGATTAGGACTAACCAGCTAAGAAAGCCCATCGTCAACAAAATCTCCGGCTTGCTTGTTGTGCTCGATGGGGTGAAGTGCGTTGAATTCATCGAAAAAGGGCTGGCTAATTCCCGATCGCGTTCACAACAGCCGTATGTACTTCCGTAATTGCTTTGCAAGCTCAATCAAGCACCATTGAACGCTCCAATTGACTAGGACCTTTTACTCGGTAGCAGCAACTCTGGTCGAGCATCTTCAGTGCAAGAAACGCAAGGCCGAAGCAAACTTCAAAGTCATCCTGCAAAGAAACGTCCCACGAGGGGTGTCTTGCATTGGAAAACTTCATGTCGCGTCAGGCTGTGCAGGCAGGACGCAACGCTCACCCGCCAGCAGGGCGTCTAGGGCCTGGTTCAAGCGGTCCCGCTCCCGCACTACGCACAGCTGGCGGAGACCGGGACGACCAGTGTCCGCTGCACAACAAGCGCCACGCCCCTGGTGACCATTGATGGTAGAGCACGGAACCAATTGTGGGTGGTGCTGAGCTCAGCAGGGTTAGCAATGTTGAGGCGACAGCACGACACCATTGCATACAAGAAGCATGGCGCTGGAGATCGTTCTGGAGTTCGCAAAAGCTTTTGAAGGCAACTAACAACACTGAGCGTCTCCAAAACCGCAACTAGAAAGAAAGCAATCCATCACGCACCTGCCCAGGTTCCCAGCGGCAGGGCAGCCAAAGGGTGGTTGAAGAGGGGGAGAGAGTTGGGAACGTGGCGGAAATGCCGTCCTATACCTGCACACGATAGCGGGCCAATTGAGCGTGATATGGGAAAGGGCTGACAACCTGGAAACATGAAGACGTTACGCTTGGAATGGTCAAGCGAACTGTGGATCATCAACCAAGAAGACGCTCTCGTCAAGCCTTGCGAGCTTTCGCAAGCCGACCCAAGCAACAGCTTATAGACGCGCCTAACATTGCTTCCATCGCATTGAAAAAACCTCTAGATGGCCGCCTATCGGACGCCAGCGAACAGAGTTAGTGCTTTGCTAACAAAGTAACCTTCCATAATGCGGCCGTTTGTTTCTCAATTTCACAAGCCTCGACTGCCCTCAGACATCCGACACAACCAGAGCCTTCCAATCATGAAGCTCTTTGAGCAACAGGAGTTCAGCAGGCAGAACTTTATGATGGTGCCCTCACATTTGAGCACCCCCGAGAGGGACGCCAGGTGCAGCAGCTGCTGGCAGCCGCCCTCCTGCTGGCTGGCCCACGCCAACACGGGCAAGGTCGCAACGCCTGCTTCCAACAGCTTGTCCGCCAACTTGCGCAAGCTCTCATCCGGCTCCACCGACACCAGCGCCGGCCGGCTCTGGTCTCTCGCCCCCGCCTGCGCCTGCGCCGCCGCTTTCTCCTCTTTCCACGCTGCAATCGTGTGCGTCTCGAGCTCCTCTTCACTCAGCACTGCCCCCGTGCTGTTGATCTGGCGCAGGATGGTGATGAAGTCGCTCGCGCTGAGCATGCCCACAAACTGCTGCGACTCAACGTCCCAGAGTGGGGCTGACGGAACCGCCTGCTCGTAGAGCGCATGGAAGGCCTGCTTCACAGGCAGGGTCACGTCCAGCGCCACCACCTTCCCGCTCTCCGGTAGCAATTCGTACACCGTGTGCCGGTTCAAGAAGTCCGCGACCCGCTGCTTTGTCGCGTCTGCATCGCTTAGGCCCCCTACCGGGGTGTCCGACGGGATGGACACCGCTCTTTCTAGCCCAGGCGCGGCGGCATCATTTGCCACGGGCTGGAAGTGCGAGCTGGAGCTCGGCGGCAAGGCAGCGTCTGGCTGCGGCAGGGGGGCCTGCGGTTCCTGCGCTAAGGGGGGATGGGCAGGGCCCTGCTGGTGGGGGTGCTGTGGTGGGAGGGGCTGTTGCGGAATAT